AAATAACTTTCAACTGGCATGGACAATGACTATCATGAGAATTGCGGAGGAGGCCTGGTGTGAGAGGGGATGGGAAGGGTATCGGGAGGTCAGGGGAAGGGTTAAAAAGGATCAGTCACAATTATTACCGTTGATAATAATGATAATACTGTAATAATAGGATTGGAGGCATCACCAGCCAAACACTTGCCCGGATTTGCGGTTGGGCTGCAGGAAACCCGGCGAGACAAGTATGCCCAAGGAGATATTTAGGAAAAGCTGTTTGACCAGACAGAGGGACGTTAGCTCTTCCACGCCCAGATTAACTTTCCAAACAAACCCACTGAGAGTGTCCCATTACTCCCAATCCTCTCTCCAGCCATGAGTGCAGGACTGACCGAATCACGGCAGAATGAAGATTATATCTTTTTTTTAATTATCATCATTCTTCAACATGTAATGATTTACTCCCCCTCCAAATCACAAAAGCGATGCAGTAAATAATTCTCCCATGTGTTTTCGGGTTGTAGTGAACGTGTGGTATTCCTGAAGAAGGCATGTGGAGTGAAACACCGGACAGCATGCTGACAAACACGCGGTACAACCCAAAAGCACTTCAGAAAGCTAGACGGCACATCCGTGAAAATAAGCTACGCAGATTTGAAGAAGGGCTGTGATTGTCAAACAATTAAATTGCTTCAATTGTGGAGAATGTCTAACGCTGGCTCTGTAGTGGGACCCAAGCACATAAAACAATTTCAGAATCGATTACAGTCGAATCTTACGCAGAAGACGCATGCAATGCGAGCATACAGTGAGGGAAAAAAAGTATTTGATCCCCTGCTGATTTTGTACGTTTGCCCACTGAGAAAGAAATGATCAGTCTATAATCTTAATGGTAGGTGTATTTGAACAGTGAGGGACAGAATAACAACAAGAAAATCCAGAACAACGCATGTCAAAAATGTTATAAATTGATTTGAATTTTAATGAGGGAAAAAAGTATTTGACCCCCTCTCAATCAGAAAGGTTTCTGGCTCCAAGGTGTCTTTTATACAGGTAACGAGCTGAGATTAGGAGCACACTCTTAAAGGGAGTGCTCCTAATCTCAGCTTGTTACCTGTATAAAAGACACCTGTCCACAAAAGCAATCAATCAATCAGATTCCAAACTCTCCACCATGGCCAAGACCAAAGAGCTCTCCAAGGATGTCACGGACAAGATTGTAGACCTACACAAGGCTGGAATGGGCTACAAGACCATTGCCAAGCAGCTTGGTGAGAAGGTGACAACAGTTGGTGCGATTATTCGCAAATGGAAGAAACACAAAAGAACTGTCAATCTCCCTCGGCCTGGGGTTCCATGCAAGATCTCACCTCGTGGAGTTGCAATGATCATGAGAACGGTGAGGAATCAGCCCAGAACTACACGGGAGGATCTTGTCAATGATCTCCAGGCAGCTGGGACCATAGTCACCAAGAAAACAATTGGTAACACACTAAGCCGTGAAGGACTGAAATCCTGCAGCGCCCGCAAGGTCCCCCTGCTCAAGAAAGCACATATACATGCCCGTCTGAAGTTTGCCAATGAACATCTGAATGATTCAGAGGACAACTGGGTGAAAGTGTTGTGGTCAGATGAGACCAAAATGGAGCTCTTTGGCATCAACTCAACTCGCCGTGTTTGGAGGAGGAAAATGCTGCCTATGACCCCAAGAACACCATCCCCACCGTCAAACATGGAGGTGGAAACATTATGCTTTAGGGGTGTTTTTCTAAGGAGACAGGACAACTTCACCGCATCAAAGGGACGATGGACGGGGCCATGTACCGTCAAATCTTGGGTGAGAACCTCCTTCCCTCAGCCAGGGCATTGAAAATGGGTCGTGGGTGGGTATTCCAGCATGACAATGACCCAAAACACACGGCCAAGGCAATAAAGGAGTGGCTCAAGAAGAAGCACATTAAGGTCCTGGAGTGGCCTAGCCAGTCTCCAGACCTTAATCCCATAGAAAACCTGTGGAGGGAGCTGAAGGTTTGAGTTGCCAAACGTCAGCCTCGAAACCTTAATGACTTGGAGAAGATCTGCAAAGAGGAGTGGGACAAAATCCCTCCTGAGATGTGTGCAAACCTGGTGGCCAACTACAAGAAACGTCTGACCTCTGTGATTGCCAACAAGGGTTTTGCCACCAAGTACTAAGTCATGTTTTGCAGAGGGGTCAAATACTTATTTCCCTCATTAAAATGCAAATCAATTTATAACATTTTTGACATGCGTTTTTCTGGATTTTATTGTTGTTATTCTGTCTCTCACTGTTCAAATAAACCTACCATTAAAATTATAGACTGATCATTTCTTTGTCAGTGGGCAAACGTCCAAAATCAGCAGGGGATCAAATACTTTTTTCCCTCATTGTAAGGATCGATTTTAATCGATGCATTGTTACATGCCTCCTTGCTATGGGACGGCATACAGATAGAGAAACGTGGTCTTTTACAACAAAAACGGAACAAAAACTGAAACGTGCGCGCAAACACGTGCCTCAAATTACACCGAGAGACACGAAAGCGGAGCACATCGATGAGAGAACGCACACAAGTGACCGACGTTAGTAGCACGGCCGGCTACGTACGGTGCGAAAGAAGTTCATCACACAATACATTCAAACTGCGAATGAAAGTTGAGCTTGGACGTCAGGACACGTTTAGAAAAGGGGTGATGGCCGGTGGGTTAGAACAGTGACGGAGTGGGAGCCAAGGAATGGGGAATGCATCCGAGGAGGCAAACACCGTGGAAATGCAAAAAAAATCGGCTCGTTTGAAGGTGCTAAACAAATTGTTGCATCACAGGACCGCGACAGATGGCGACGGGTTGATGCATCCTCCTTCCAGCAGTGGATTGATCATGGCTGAAGATGATGGTGACAATGCTGATTGTAACAAGGCTAATTTCCTCCTCAGCGTTGCAGTCACTGGAGCATATTTCTCTTTGCTTTACTAACATTTCATATGTACTAAAAAAGGAAATCAGATCTCGCTTAAAACCCAAGAAATGTGCAGCTCGTTAATGGGTTAGTTTTTAAACATCGGAGTCCCTTGTCGTGCAGGAATGTCTGGAATCGCCGTTCCAACGCAGAGAGGGCTCAGGCTGACCCACCAAGCCGTTCACAACACGGTGTCACATGTAGCTCTAAGCTCTGCCGCTGTCTGGCCACGTAAAAAAAATGCAATCAATCAAGGGGCGATGATGACAAATTTGTCAGATGTGGACAGGCACCTTCATAAAAAATATTCATTACAGCACGTGTCTGTGTCTTAATCTCTTTGTTTTGTCTGTTGGGCAGTGGTGGCATTATAAATCCAGCTACCCGACTTCGATTCCGGGTCGCAGCTAAGATCAGTGGCGAGTGATATCAGGACCGGTCTTAGCCCACCCCTAAGTCGACTCAGCCTTAAACAAGTGCCCGGTACAGTGTGCAAGCATTAGCGCTGCAGAGACAATGGGGGATGGGTGTGGTTCTTGCCACCCCACCCCCTCGTGTGCTTTTCTGACCTTAATAGATGCTCGCTAACACCACTTGCCCCAACATTTTGTGTGTTATACAAAAAACCTTTATTTCAACTTTTTTTTATTTTACCAGCTATACGGCTCTTTTTCAGAAGCGACCTGGCCACAAATGATAGATTAACGAAGTGGCTTATCACGTGGATATTTCTATCAGCCAAATTCTCTAAACGCATGCTTCTAAATGTGGAGGGTAAAAAACGAACTCAGAGAAAAATCCACGCGACCACGGTGAGAGACATGCAAACTCCAAATAAACGTGCCTCAGGGTCGGAATCGAACCCACGACCACTTTGAGGAGTGAGTAGCTGTGGTCTAGAGTTTTGACCAATTTTGGAGATGCATAAGTCCAGGTCTTTGCTGGTCTAGGGTAAATTAAATTGTCCTATCAGGAGTGGAATTTCTTGGTTGGCCCAGATACAAAGATGTTGTCTGGTTTGTTCATGCTATCACTTTTCTATTTCCTAAACACAATGAAGGAATAAAAAAGGTCATATTCTTTATTCATACAGGAAGGCCTCATTTATTCTCAAGGATACTGCATTGGTATGTTTGGCCAATACTATTAATAAGTGTTTGCTATGTGCGAGAACATGCATACAAAGTTCCACACATATTCAATTCACAGAGAGACCCAGTTCAATCAGTCTACATGTAGACTGAACCCATTGCTGATATTGCTACCTCTGTCACCAAAACTAAACCTTTTATTTTTATTTGACCAGGCATGGCCCATTGAGCTATATAGAACGTTTTCAGAAGCGACCTGGCCACAAGTGATAGCTCAACAAACTGGCTTATCCGTGTGAACATTTATAGCAACCACTCAAAATGCATGTCGGTTATAAATGTACCGTCGAAAAATCCACGTGACCACGGGGAGAGACATGCAAACTCCAAATAAACGTGCCTCAGGGTCGGAATCGAACCCACGACCATCTGTATACCTGGCGAGGTAGTTAACATCTCGCCATCGTGGCGCCCCATCATCTTTAAGTGCCTGACCTGTGGTGGTGACGCACCATGACAAATGCTTTTCCTGTTGGCGTGTGCATGAATTGGAAGGAGCGTCTGGAGTGAGCATCGTGGCTGGTGGGGGTGTGGCAAAGAGAGGGTGAGGGAAGACAGTCGGAAGAGTAGGGGTGGCATGACCTACGACCCTGGGAAAATCGATAAATTGTCACACTTTATGGTCCGATGGGATGAAATAATCACTAAGGCGGATTTAACAGCAGCAAGGGTCCATGTGAACTCATTATACATAGTGTATACAAAAGTCAACAGCCGTGTCGCGAACTTACGATTCGATATGAATCGAAGACCCGGCGTATCGTTACACCATCAGCAGACGCGTGCAAATGCTTCGTGAAGTCACCGCATAAATAATCATAATCACCCACGCAATTGCATTCGTCACACCCGATACAACCCTGTGTACCATTAAACCGAGCACTCACCACTTTGGCCTTGACGATTGGCTCCACAGGAGGCGTCTCCTGGGCCCGACTCTTGCTCAGGGTTTGCGCCGTGGAGACGGTTGCCGTGGGAACCACCTCCGACGTGGCCAACTTGACCGAGGGCACCCGGGAGACACCAGCAGGGGAGCCTGCTGCGGGCACTGCAGCCACCACAGATGTGGCTGCCACAACCGCTGTCGGTGCCATCGCGTTGACGCCACCGCCGAGGTTCTGCAGCTTACGCTGCACCAGGCCGCCATCCGGCGGGTATCCGGCGGTCGGCGTGCAGGCCGCATCTTTCGCATAATCATCCGCCAGAGGCCTGCGAATAAAGGCCGAGTCTTCAGAGTGGGAGCGCTGCAGTTCGGTGGCCGCGCATCTTAAATCCTCCACGGACAGATCCACGTCTTCCGCCGTGGCAATGAGGTCTTGTTGGGACTGGTCGTCTGACGCCATCACCCCGTCCTCCTTCCGCCCGCCCTCATTCTGCAGCACTCGAATGCTTCGCTTCTTGGAGTTTCGCCGCACGATTCGTGGCGACAGCAGCTTGGGGTCAAATCCTAGGTCCTGCATTGGAGCGTGGAGAGAACCCACCCCGTAGTCTTCGTCGCCGGAAGGCAAAGGCAGGGTCTTCTCGGACTGCGAGCGCGGCTTGCCGAAGTCGTCCGGGTCACCGGGATCTTCCGCTCTCTTCTCGGCAAGCGTGGGCTCGCTACGCGCCGACGGAATCCCAGCGATGGCCTCGGTCTCGCTGATCGTCTCTGCCAACAGTCGCGACCCCGTGGCCGCCACCATCCCCCCGTCTCCGCGGCGGCTCGGGTCGCTCAGGGACTTCTTCTTGACCACCTTCCCGTTGCCCCTCTCGTCGACCACCTTGTCCATGGCGCCGGGCTCGTTCACGATGTTGTGGATCATCGTGCTGTAGTCCTTCACCTCCTCGCTGCACACGGAGAGGTCGCTGGCCGCGCTCGCGCCGCACTCCGCCAGCATCGTGGCCGACGATCCCGGGATTATCCCAGCTCGCGACGGCCCCAGCGAGCCAAGGAAGTTGCTGTCCACCGGAAAGATTTCCGTTTCCTCGGCGGCCGGACATTTTCTGTGGGGCATCGGGTCGCTGAGTGAGCGGTAGCTCTCGCCGTTCGATTCCCCGTTGCTCCCGTTGCTCGAGTCGGAGCCGTTGTTGCCGAGGGCGGAAAACTTGCGACGCCGCCGAGACGTGCTGGGTGTGAGCGGCGGCTCTGCCGACGCCGGACCTCCACCCTTGATGTCGCCCTCCATGGAGATGCTGTCAACGCCGCTCCTCACCGTCGTCACAACGGTGGGCGCCACCTCCCTTCGGAGCCAATTCTCCGTTTTCTCTTGGCCGTCGACCTCGCCGACCCCACTGAGCTGCCTGGACTTGGCCACGCCACGGCTGTAGGAGCCAGCGACCGCCCCCGTCTCCGGCTCCGTCACGATCCCCTCGTCGGTCATGCTCGACTCCTCTTCCTCCAGGTCCTCCAGCTGGGGCCGCACGCGGCGCAAGCCCTCCAGCGACCCCATACTCCTGAAGCCGTCCTCGCTTTCCACGCTCATTCTCAACGCTTCCATCATTCCATCTTCGTCGTCCTCGCCGTTGGCGTCCTCGTCATCGTTGTCATAAACCCAACTTGCGACTTCGCTCCCAACTCCCGGGTAGCTCCGCAGCGCGTCGCCGCCAATCGGCAGCTCCTGGTGCGACGCACACGTTGCCACTTTTAAGGCAGCCTCGCGCTTCGTCCGAGGTCGGTTCTCCAATGCTTCCATGACTCTGGCCGACAAGCTGCGCCCGCTGTTTTCCCCGACCTCCTTGCCCTCCGAGTCGTCGAGGGAGTCTGGCACTGTGAAGTTGTCAGAAATGTTGGCGTTGGATAGGGACCTCTCGCTGCTGATGCTGCTGTTGGATGCACCCATCTTCGTTTGACGAAGTGTTTCAGTAAGCTCCTTGAGGGTCAGCCTCCCTCCAAAGCTCGCTGCGGTGGAATTCTCAACGCAAAGCATCTCCCCGTCCATTGCCTCAGTCTCACTTTGTTCGGCGGGCAAGCTGCCATATGACCCGCTCCTCTCGCCAGAGTTCCTAACCTTCAGGTTGGAAAAATCTGACTTGAGATAACTAAGCAAGGCCATGGTTTCTGATGTGAAATCAGGGTTTGAGAGAGATTTCCTGTACAGCGACTTCTGTCCAGTCGACATACCAGGCTCCTCAGTCCCTTGTTTATCTCCCATAATTCCAAATGGCAGCTTTGGCCTGAGTCTCACATTGCTCTTTGTCAACTTTCCCATTCCTTCGACTTCCGAGTTCTTCATCATTCGTCCCACGCTCCCAAAAACCCAGTAGGTCCTCTTGGTGTCCTCCTCTGTCAGCGTCTCCGTGCTCGAGTAGCGGCTGCTGCTCTTGGAGCTGTTGGCCGCGTTCAAGAATGACTGCAGGTTCACCTTGGTCACTTTGGAGACGACTGGAGACACACCGGGGCTGTCGGGCTCAAGGGACGAATCTCTCCGGGCACCGCCCCACTCCTCCCTGTGTCCATGCAGCCCTCTCGGCTCCTTACTCTTAGGCAACGTCGCGAATCCCGAGACACAAGCCAGGTTGATGGGGTGGATTTTTTGATTATTATTGAAGGTGCTTTTCGGACTTCCGTTTCCCGGGCTTTGTCCGTGAAACCCGCCCGGCATAGCCGTCCTCCGTCTGCGCAGCGATGCACTGGCAGATAGGTCGCTATCAGAGTCCGAATCGTTCTTCCCCCCTTCCCCAAAAGAACTCTTCTTTTTACGAATAGGCCTACGTTTTTGGCTGTTTCTGCAGAGCATTGGTATTCGGGCATTATCCCGGTCTCTGTCAGTGGATTTCTCTTTCGAGTCTGAGCCATCCCTTTTCGCTGTGGCCCACTCTCTCCGACCTCTATCCAAGTCTTCCTCGGCTCCAGAACTTTCCGTAATGGAGGATACAGAGCGCAAGGTGGAGGAGCTGCACCAGGACTTCAAGCTCTCTGCCCCATCCTGCAAAGCCCTTCCGTTTGGGCTGTAGCTCGTTTGCGGACTTGCTTGCACACCTGCCACCGCCACGCCCCGGTGAACCCTCTTGCCGCCGCTCCCAAGCTGAAGGGAGCAAATCCGCTCGAGACGACTCCTGGTGACCTTTGGCTCAGGGATGGGACTCAGGGAAACACTTCGACCCAGATTCCTCAAGCTTCTTCCACCGTCAGAGTCTTCGGATTGCACTGGAGTAAGAGTCGAGTTTTTACCAGAACCTTGCGGGCGCACGTAATTTGTCTGCCTCTCCAAAAACGAGGGCAGCCACCTGGTGCCATCCGGCTTGGCGTTTGTGGACGCCAAAGCTTGATAAATTTTGCCATCGGACGATCCAAATGCATTCAAGTCATACATGTCAGACGTGGAGCGGTGGGGTTTCCTCCGGTTTCCTTCACCTAGGAATCTGGCCTTAATCTCAGCCACACTAGGCCAGCTCATTTCCTGGCTGCCCGTGACACTCTCACCTGTGGTCCCCTGGACGTGGCCGAGAGGCTGGTGGCTCTGTGCGTCCAAAGCCGAAACGTCCCCCGGGACATCTCTCTCCTCCTCCAGGTGCACCTCAGGTGAGAGCGGCGGAGGTGCTGGCGAGGATGTTGAGGAGCTCTGGACATGGTCTGAACTGAGCTCCGAGCTCATCACTGTTGATACCGGAGAAGCCGGAGGCAGCGATGACGTTGACGAAGACAACTTGGGCTCCGCAGCCTCCACTAATTTCCTCTCTCTCGCAGCAACACGTTTTGTCCCAGAGTTGATCACCGGTATGTGCGAGGCAGGAGGCGAGACGGTTCCCCGCCTTGACGTCCTGTCCAGAGGTTTTGAAGACCCGGCCTTCCCAGGCGCACCTCCTCCTCCTCCAACTGCAGACCTGTCCTCCTGCGGAGAGCCCTGGAAGTGCCGCGACAGCTGCAGGATGGCTGGGGCCACATTGTGCATCTTCCTCACTGGCGGCGGAGCGGTGCTGTCCACGGCCGCCTTTGTTTTCTCTCGGCGTGAGGGGGCCACGACCCTGGTCCTGGTGGCCTCTTCTCCCTCGGGGGCACGCATCCCTCCGCGGGGAGGTTGCTGTTGCTGCTGCTGCTGCCCGCCAGCACGGCCCCCGATGTACTTGTTGTAGACGGAGCGGTACTGAACAGTGCCGCTGCTGCTGCTGGCCTTGTCTCCGGCCCGCCTGCTGCTCTTGTCTGCCATGGCTGGCGGAGCTGAGTTTGGTGCCTTCAGACTTTTGGACAGCGAGAGCAGCAGAGGAGAGGCGAAGGTACCCCCCCACCCCTCACTCCGCCCACCCACCCCACCGGGCAGCAGCGGCAGTGCTTGCGCGTTGGTTGAAAGGACGGAGATCCCCCAACTATGAAAGGTGAAGATTCACCAGCGCGTGTGTTACGAGCAAGCCTGACGGTTGGCAAAAGTTCATTTTCGCCTTGAGAACGACGAGAAATCCCTCCCGACGTTTTCCCCCGTCGGCGGCGGCGCACTGCAGCGAGAGTTTTGAAAACAACTGTAAAAGAAAAACTAAACTCACAATAAAAACCAATCAACAACAACAACACGCACACGACGGGCAACCGAGACCGATCAACGACGTTCCGGAACGACAACCGTGATCACGACCGCACCGGTTCGCAACTCTCGCGCTTTAAAAACAAGCCGACACCTTGAGCGACAAACAACAACAATTGATTAATTGTTAGAGTCATCAACAACAATGTGAACCCATCGGTGATACTTACCGGGATCTGGCTGCTGCTGCTGCTGCTGGCTATGTGGCGTCTCTTGCAGCAGGAGCGGCGCGGAGCTCTTCGACTCTTTGGAACGGACGCATCACAGAGTCGCGGATGAGACGCGAACGTCCCGCGCCACCCCCCAAGGGGCTTTCTAACTCAATGATTCTACAAGACGACACCCAATGATTCCATGACACTCGATGATTCCACAAGATGACACTCGATGATTCCACAAGATGACACCCAATGATTCCACAAGACGACACTCGATGATTCCACAAGATGACACTCAATGAATCTACAAGATGACGATGATGATGAAGACGATGATGAAGACGATGATGGAGACAAAAAATGAAAAAAAATTGTTACGTCGTATATATCTATAATTGTGGGGGGGGGGGAGGGGGGAAGACAAACAATCCAGAGCTAAGAGAATGAAAAGTAACAATAACAACATGCACCACCAAACTCTCAAAAGTCTAAACTCAAGCTTTGTGTGCTGGGTGGAAGTTGTAGTTTCGTGCCGAGCAGCACGCGTGTTGTGTGTGTTAGTGCGTTACGTGTGTTAGTGTGTTATGTGTGTTAGTGTGTGTGTGTTAGTGCGTTATGTGTGTTGTGTGTGTTACGCGTGTGTTGTGTGTGTGTTAGTGGGTTATGTGTGTTAGTTTGTTACGCGTGTGTTGTGTGTGTGTTAGTGTGTTATGTGTGTTAGTGTGTTATGTGTGTTAGTGTGTTACGCGTGTGTTGTGTGTGTGTTAGTGTGTTATGTGTGTTACTGTTACGCGTGTGTTGTGTTTGTGTGTTATGTGTGTTAGTGTGTTGTGTGTTAGTGTGTTACGCGTGTGTTGTGTGTGTTATGTGTGTTACTGTTACGCGTGTGTTGTGTGTGTTACGCGTGTGTGTTAGTGTGTTACGTGTGTGTTACGTGTGTGTTGTGTGTGTTATGTGTGTTAGTGCGTGTGTGTTAGTGCGTTATGTGTGTTGTGTGTTACGCGTGTGTTGTGTGTGTTATGTGTGTTACTGTTACGCGTGTGTTGTGTGTGTTAGTGTGTTACGTGTGTGTGTTACGTGTGTGTTGTGTGTGTTATGTGTGCACGTTGTGTTTGTAGCCTACCCACAGGAGGATCGCTTTGCCTTTGTACGTGTGTCGTGTTTGTACGAGTGGTTTGTTGATGATGGTGTTCAACTAACACACACCACACACTTGCCCCTTACAGCCGAAGTTAATGATGAATGGTCCGGTTAGACCCCTTTTGTCTGTGTGTGTAACTCACTCACTCACGTGCGTGTGTGTAACACTGTGTGTGTAACTCACGTGTGTGTAACACTGTGTGTGTAACTCACTCACGTGTGTGTAACTGTGTGTGTGTAACTCACTCACGTGCGTGTGTGTAACACTCCGTGTGTGTGTAACACTCCGTGTGTGTGTAACTCACGTGTGTGTGTAACTCACGTGTGTGTGTGTGTAACACTGTGTGTGTGTGTGTAACACTCCGTGTGTGTGTGTGTAACTCACGTGTGTGTGTGTGTAACTCACGTGTGTGTGTGTGTAACACTGTGTGTGTAACTCACTCACTCACGTGCGTGTAACTCACTCACGTGTGTGTGTAACTCTGTGTGTGTGTAACTCACTCACGTGTGTGTAACTCTGTGTGTGTGTAACTCACTCACTCACGTGCGTGTGTGTAACACTCCGTGTGTGTGTAACACTCCGTGTGTGTGTGTGACACTCCGTGTGTGTGTGTAACTCACGTGTGTGTGTGTGTAACACTCCGTGTGTGTGTAACACTGTGTGTGTAAATCACGTGTGTGTGTAACACTCCGTGTGTGTGTGTGTAACTCCGTGTGTATGTGTAACACTCCGTGTGTATGTGTAACACTCCGTGTGTATGTGTAACACTCCGTGTGTGTGTGTAACTCACGTGTGTGTGTGTAACTCCCCGTCTGCGTAACTCTCCGTCTGCGTCTGTGTGCAAACTCTCCGTGTGTGTCGTGTCGAGTGTGAGACCTTGCTGTAACAACAGCGTGTGAGAACAGTGTGTGGTGGTGGTGGTGATGTGTGTGGATGTGTGCGAGGAGCTTGCCTCTCGCTCGCCCCAGAGACTCCGTGTGGCCGTGCGTCCGCCCACTCCGGGGGTGGGGGGCGCGACGTTGATTGTGTGATTGATGCCAGGAAGTTCACTTTAAAGTCACTGCAGCAAACACCACCACCACCTCCAACCTCCTCCTCCAACCTCCTCGGAGCCCCGAAACGAGACGCGCAAGTGATCCTCTCGCGAGTCCGATGTGTCTTTACTGCGCATTTGGAAGGGGGGAGGGGGGGGTTGGGGTTTGTTCCCTCTTCGCGATTCTTCAACAAAAAAAGTTATTGTCAGCAGGAAAAAAAAAGTTAAAGCATTTGCATCGATCCATCGATTTTGTTCTGTACGTCGCCCTACTCGGGAATCGACTCGGTGCGATTGAGTTCGCGTGACCACCCCCAGCCGCTAGAGGCCGCTACAGCCGATTCGCCGATATTTGATTCGAGTGGAGGTTACACGCGTTCTTAAAAGTTACGTAACGATCGTTGGGGGAGGCCCCTTTCTCCAAAGGCCAACTTTCGCAAGCGAATGAAACATTATGAACAAAAAAATATGTATAAGAATAGGTGTGTACCCTTTCTGGCAATAGTACAGGAGTTGTGTAAAGATGTTCAAACACCAAATGGAAACCTTTTTGCAAGGAATCAAGTTCGCATTAACCGCACGTACTTGTGGTGAAACATGCGAACAAACATGCTCTGATAATGATGTCGCATTGCCTTTGAAACTGATTGGCCCTCACCAGAGCCAGCCTTCTTTAGGTCGAAGTCTCACCATAGGTGTCATGCCAGAGAACGCCAAAAGACGACCGGTACAATGGCAATGTATAGGAATAGATTTTACCCTTTTAACTGGCACAAAAACTGACACCTTTATTCAAGGCATCATGTTTGCAATAACCACAACACAAGCAGTCAAAATGCAAACAAAAAAGACAACTCTGATAATAATATGCACTGTCCTTAGAAATTGATTGGTGCACATCCGAAACAGCTTTTCTTAGAGCCTAGTCTCCATTGGTGTTGGACCAGAAGACGCCAAAAGGCGTACAACTCAAAGAGTTGTCTTTTTTGTTTGCATTTTGACTGCTTGTGTTGTGGTTTTTTGCAAACATGATGCCTTGAATAAAGGTGTCAGTTTTTGTGCCAGTTAAAAGGGTTAAATCTATTCCTATATCTTGTTACTGGCAAAGGAGGTCTCATAATGACAATGTACTATCAGAGCACTTATATTTCGGGGTGAGCACCTTTCAAAAATCGGACCTATTTGCCAGTATCAAAGTACGAAACAAAACTTTTCCGGCCTCACTGCGTAGAGAGGCCCTTGCCCAGCGATGGACTGTCTAATAACAATCCGAGAAATATATGAAAAACCAATAACATTTCCAAATCATGGGCCAGTATCAAAATAATATAAGAATATATTTTACCCTTTCTGGCAGTAAGTTTCAAAGCCAATGCATATACCACTGGAGCATGTTTTTTTTGTTTGCATGTTCACCGCGAGCATATGTGGTTAATGCAGACATGATGCATGGCAAAAGGTTTCTGTTTGGTGTTTAAACATCTTAACACAACTGTTTTATTGCCAGAAAGGGTGAAACCCTATTCTTGTAACATTTCCACAGTCGAGCTCCAAAGGATAAAGTTCTGCATTGCGTTAAAGGTTTCGCGATAAACACTTCCAAACAATTATAGGAGGACCTCTCGATCGTCACCTTCCATGGAGCGTGATTCTGTGACTCTTAAGGCAGACGTTAAATGAAATGTATGATGCTTACTGTGATGTGTTATAATCTCTGGCACATGTCCCTCGTGCATGTAACACTTTGTCCACAAGCGTACACACATGCACAGACAAAGACCTCCCGTGTAGCCTTTACAGACTGTTGGGGCAAGTGCTGTCTGCGAGCATCTATGAAGGGTGGCGATGTTTAAGCATTAAAACCAGGTACAGTACCCATTTTATACTGAGTCGACCTAGCTGAGTCGACCACATGCGCACACACGAGTAAGTTTAAATATATTCCAGAATAGGTTTAAACTCGCTACTTTAATTGCCATGATTTAGTGCGCCCGGTGAAATGTCGCACGTATATAAGGTTACTCGTATTTTAAACTTCGTGATTTTTTACAACACTTTCTACAATCGTTTCACTTGCTGACACGAAAGAAAATGTGTCTTCGTTAACATGTCTGGAATTATACATCGCTCTGGTGTGCAATATTATTGTTGTAATAACAATGACTTACAGCCCTTTGTGAATCCGTGACTGAGTGAAGGCCTCCCCCCACTCCTCATGTCCGTCACGGTAGATGGTGACCATACCTCGTCATCTAGCTGGTCAGTCGGGATGCGGGGCCGGTTCAGATATCGCTCCCTCACTGCTGTTAGCCGTGGCCTGGAATCAAACTCAGGTTGGCGGATTCTCTAAACCACTGCGCCAACGCTCCCTCCAAAACTGCATTGTTATTCTGTATGCGCATTCTAAATGGCCTTGTCAATCGAGACCCCTTCTGGGAATCAGACGCGAATCTCAAATATGTATCTTGGTCTAAAGAGCATTATTAATGAGGTGTCTGATCTACATTAACATCATAATTATCATAAACCGGCATACCGCATGTGTTTTGACTTTACAAGCGAATGTGCTATCCTGTGTAGTTTTGTTACCAAAGTCTTCCATTTCGAGCTACCTTCGATCCGAAAGCATTGGTCGCGATATGGAGGTATGTTGAGCTTCTTTCGCACCGTGCGTAGTCAACTGTGATAATCGGAGGTACGGACTAGCCTTCGCTACAGGGCTCTGTCTACTGCAGTTTGGAATAATTATACCGTTCAAATTAGATTCGGTATTGAACTCGTTCAAATAATAATAACATTGAATAAACGTGCATACAAAGCGATAACCACTCAATGCTCAGCACAGATAGATTCATGAATTCATTGCTGTACAGCACTTCAGTCTCCTGGTCACATCAACCCCACGTCTACAACACCTGGAAATCCCTGGTGGTCTTCCATCCATGTACGAACCTGGCTTGACCCTCCGTAGCTTCTCAGCTCGACCAAGATCGGGTAATATAGGGTGGTCTGGTCACAATAAATTACAATGTTTGATTGGCTGAATTGATTAGATCTTTTGCTTGCGTGTGATCATATGTTCAGGCGCTAAATTGCAATGTGGAGGTCTGCCAGCCACGACGAGAGGGCTTCAGGCAGTGGCGGATTATCCCAGTAGCAAGAGTAGCTACAAATGTAGCTACGGGCCCCGCACTTTCAAGGGCCCCGCGCTAAATTATTTCAAGCTATCAATTCCGGTTCAGTGATTCTGCACTTGCTCTATTACTATAGTACTATACCGCCTTCAACTTTATTGAACGACTGGGTGTTTAAGGTTAGCGATTTGTCGTATTATCTAGCTGTATAGAAAATGAAAAATACAATTACTTTATTATACTTGTAAAAAAAATTGTGTTTTAATATTCATGTTTTTTTTTTAATTCAGGGCCCATTTATAACATCATGCTACAGACCCCGCACTGCTTAATCTGGCACTGGCTTCAGGAAACACTTCGTGTAGTTTTGCCGCTCCTCCTCCGTTGAAGGATCGCGGACTCGTGGTTTACTCTTTGGCCCAAAGTTTGGGTTGCATGTCCACAGTCGTTCAAATGTGGCGTGTCTTTAACTTTCCTTTTGTGAGGGATATGTGCGCGTTGGCCTGTTGTTGGTGTTCTAATGCGGTTGATGGTTACACCGCTGTCTTCGATGAGGAATGTCAGAGCCAGGTTGTGCGATGTTCGTGTCTCCAACGAGCTGTTTATTCTGGACGTCTGCTATTGCCGCTAAATTCATTTGACAGGCCGATCATAATATCGCTCAAAATACAGCCACGCAAACATTGAACGCAGCTGCACTTCTACGCTGACGTCTCCACCTAGTGGTGGAGAACTCACCCTGTGGCCCTTGCCTGCTGATTCTTTATTTAAGTCAGCAGTGGTGGGGGGGTGGTCAATTTACAGGCTCCCTTTTCCCCAACATGGGCACATTTTTTGAGGCTGGTGATGGGTTATATCCTTCTAGGGTTCGTGTCAGACTTGCGGGCTCTGGGACTCGTAGAATAAGTGTACACGGTGAGGCCTGCCGAGGCACGCAACACATCTGGAAGAGGTTTCTTTTTTAGAAAATACAATCCTCACGGCAAAAAGAGTGGCCTCGAACGCTAATGTGAAGTGTATGGGAAAATATCAATCGTTCAATTAGCTCCGTTGCCAAAGCAGCCAGTGCCAGTGGATGTATAAAGTGCCCTTTCAAAAGCCAAGGACAGGGCTTTCATTTTCCGACCACGTGTAGCTTTCATAACGAGGCATACTTTTCTCTAATTACGTTTGATTGGTAGGTAAGGGAAGGTGGCACTTGGAGGAGTGAGTAGCTGTGATCTAGAGTTTTGACCAATTTTGGAGATGCATAAGTCCAGGTCTTTGCTGGTCTAGGGTCAATTAAATTGTCCTATCAGGAGTGGAATTTCTTGGTTGGCCCAGATACAAAGATGTTGTCTGGTTTGTTCATGCTATCACTTTTCTATTCCATAAACACAATGAAGCAATAAAAAAGGCAATGTTCTTTATTCATACAGGAAGGCCTCATTGATTCTCAAGGATACTGCATTGGGATGTTTGGCCAATACTATTAATAAGTGTTTGCTATGTGCGAGGACATGCATACAAAGTTCCACACAGATATATTCAATTCACAGAGACCCAGTTCAATCAGTCTACATGTAGACTGAACCCACTGCTGATATTACTACCTCCTCTGTCACCTAAACTAAACCTTTTATTTTAATTTGACCAGGTATGGCCCATTGAGCTATATAGAACGTTTTCAGAAGCGAACTGGCCACAAGTGATAGCTCAACAAAGTGGCTTATCGTGTGAACATTTATAGCAGCCAAACACTCAAAATGCATGTCGGTTATAAATGTACTGTCGAAAAATTCACACGACCACGGGGAGCGAGGATATGAAAACTCCAAATATACAGGCATCACGGTCGGGATCGAACCCACGATTGAACCCACGATTGAACCCACGATTGAACCCACGACCTCCTGTATACGAGGCAAGGTAGTTAACATCTCGCCATCGCGGCGCCCCCTCACAGCCCCGTACCTATAACACCTGGTATGCGCTGATGGATACTCTCTATAGCATAATGGAAGTTGGAGTGGCTGGAGAAAAAAAGTATGCATTGTAATCTTGAATAAATAAATAAAGTATATAGGACCTATGGTGATTGCTTCGGACACATCACCTTCAGCAGGATTTCCAGCATCTAACAGTGGATCGAGATTGGCTAATATTGAGTGTAGTTACATGTATAGAATTGCTTGAGTTATAATATTCCAGTTGGTGAAAAACCAAATCGATTGTCATATTTATCCCATTTGACAATTTGTCCAGTGGTGGAGAGCTACAGTTTTAAAAATATACCATCCAGTACCTACGCTATCTCACCCAAAATAACGAATAATTGTCATAACATGACCCATGGCTTTCTATACAAGTGTATGTTTTTTTAATAGCTCTAACACTTCATATTTGCACACTTTTCTTAAGTTTCACGAATTGACCTTACATGAATGTCTGCTGCCTGGGATTATAAACTTATGCAGCCGTTTACAAACCTGGAGCGGTAGCAGATGCCCACAGCGCCACCCAGCGGCAGTGTCATGAATGTGCAAAGGAAACTGCCAATTTACATACGAAAAACAAATAAAACCAGCCAGTTTATTTTTTATACCGCTAGTTGGAGCAAGTGCTGTGCGCGAGCACATATTAAAGCCTGCGTGACACACACGTGGGTGGTGTGGTCAGAACCATACCCAGCCACCTTCGCCCAATGCTGATGCTCACCAGGTATTCATTTTAGGCTAGGTAAGGTGCAGAACCGGTTCAGATCATCGTCACCGGTGTTCACCGTGATCGGGAATTGAACTGGGGTCACCTGGTTCGTAGAACAGCATGCTAACCACTACACGACCGTTCCCCACACAATTGCACACACTCCACTCCCACGGTCACACGCCTCACTGTGATATGTTGAAACCTGTTGCACTGAAATACTAATCGCTATTGAAATGCAATCGGCAACTGCAATTAACGCGTGCCTACCCGTATTAAAGAGGGCGTAAATTATATGCCTGAGATGGCTTAGACAAGGTGGCTCGTGACCTCGAGGAAACAAGTTCAACTCCAAGTCAAGGTCTACTCGGCCCGTCACATCGCTGTATTAAATAAATATACTTTTTTAAAATCATAGTTGCTGAGCACAGGGTCCAAGCGGCCAGTAACAAACAGCACTATCGAAAGTGTAATATAGTGTTCTTTACTAATTTTCAGAGGGGGCCACTTTCGCCGTTACGACATCATCAGTGTGAGGGCCACCACACGTTTGAAATCATTGGGGGCTTGACAGCAACACGATGATGATAGGGGTTGTTTTCACATTTGTGTATTGTTGGGGGCCGCACTAAAGACCACCAGGGGCCGCCAGTGGCCAGCGAGCAAGAACCACTGCTGTAATGGATAAGAGTTGATACGTCTGTCGAATTGAAGCAATGTTCTAAGAATCATGAGAGGAGAGGCGGGCGAAGGAGGGCATTCCAGAGTCGAGTGCAGTGCGATGAAAGAATCAGAACCAGTGGAATGGAAGTCCATGGAAACAGTAGCCACGAGCAAGGAGCGATAGAAGAGTGACAAGGAGGCGACCGTTAACCTTGGAGGAAAATACAGAAAAGTGTTTTCCATTGTAGCCGGGCGGTGGTGGCTCGCCCAGGAGAAGGTGGGATAGCAAACAAAGATGTGGACTCCGCCTGTTCTGTCCGTGTGGGATAGAGTCACTTCCTCCACAGTTATCTCCCCCAGGGCCGGATTCAGGCACGGGGCTTTAGGGGTTGCAGCCCAGGGGCCTCCGCTAACTCGAGGGCCTCCAGAGATGAAGTGAAAAGTTATTTAATTTGTGAATGCCGAATTTTATTTGTTAGCCTTGTAAGGATACATTTTATTTTCCTTTAACTTTGTTTTCCTTTGGAAGATATTACTGGTGGGGGGGGGGGGGGGGCTTACTGTACCTGTAGCCCAGGGGGCCTACAAAATCTTAATCCGGCCCTGCTCCCCCCCCCGTATATCTCTCTCTTCGGCTGTCCATCGCGAACGCTGATGACTGCGGAGTACAAGCTAGTTAAGTGGCATTTTCCTGGCGCGCTGGTGGGATGAAAGCCCAGTCCTTGAGCGGAAGCATCGGTCGCACTGTGGGATTTGTGTCGTGCCGTTTGCTGGTGTTGATAGGTTTAGGTTTATGTATTATATATAATATATCGAGGACCGCAGAGCTTGAGCCATTGTTGATACCGGCTCATCACGCGGCTGCCTTCCTGCTTGTCTGTGGTACCATGCGCGACACAAATTGAAGCTAATATTATGAACTGGAGTCTGCCATAGGAATGTGGGATTTTCACATCAGCTCAAGACCAATAATATAAATGAGCACCAACCAAATGCCAACACATAGCTTGGGGATACTGGCACATCGTGCCCTCCGCCTGGCGTGCAGATTTGATCTAAGGACTTGGCTGCGATTCAGCTGAAGTTTGCAAATCCATCACAGCGGCTCTGGCCAAGCCAGTAAATTTACTGGAGTGCTTTTTCCGTTGCAGTTCTCTCGTGTAATTAAGTGCCCCCCCCCCCCGCCCGCTCGCGCGCTCTCTCTCTCTTAAATTACCTGTGTATACACCTGCTTTGTGAATTAATTGGCAAACATGGATAAATGACTCAAGAGTTTGGCAACTCTTGCTCTAGACTCTCATCCACCCCTACCTCCGGGTACCACCCCCAGATTGTGATTCAGGGTAGGGATTATATATATTTTTAATCGTGACGGAAGTGGTGTCCCGTGCCTGCAGGGATCATGTTTAATACATCACACAATCTACGCGAATTTGAAAAACAATGACCTGTATACTCCCAATTCAATGCATGCATCCTGAGTTTGAGTCAACGTTAATCGATGAATGGGTGCAATGTTAAATCTTGGTCTTACATCAGTTAGTGCGACGTTAAAATTAGATTACAGTTATCTGGGGGTTACATTGAAAATCCACTTGTCCTGCGTTGTATGAGACACGAGGTACATCTTACCGTGGCCGATACTAATAATGGAGTGGCAGCAAAAGATACAGATTTAGGGTACAGTTAATTTGGGCTTGGACCAGGACAGGTACCTGGCGACCAACTCACCCTGCATTTTCTCTGAAGCTAAGTTCTTGAAAGTTAAGCAGAGTTAAGCCTGCTTAGTACTTCGGTGGGAGACTTCCTGGGAATATTCGTGTGGTGAGCTTGGCCCGAGTGATGCCCAGAAGATGGCAATAGAGCAATGGGGTGAATCAATCTGTGCGGAGCCGTGTCACCCCCTCACTGGTGGGTTTTCTGCAGGTACTGGGATTTCCTCCCACGTACCAAAGAGTATATTATGGAAATTGGTCAAACATCCCAATGCAGGGCCCTCTGACAAAACAGGGATCGAGAACTCTGCGAGGATAAAGGGCATTATATTAAACTTTTTAGATTTGTTGCTCGTGTTATTATCCACGGCGTGGAATTGAACCCAGAATGTCTTAATTGGAGTGGAGAGTTCACGAACTACGGTGCCACTGCTTCTCACACAATTTCGCAAACACAAAGACCCCCCCCCCCCCATATAATCCTCAACAGACTGTTGGGACAGGTGCTGTTAGCGAGCACCTGTGAAGGTCGGAACAACACGAGAAGCTGGTGTGGCTAGAACCATGCCCGGCTGCCTTTGTCTCCCCAGCGCTTATGTCTACACATCACACCAGGTTCACATTTAAGGCTGAGTCAACGTAGGGGACGCCTCGGACCAGTATAGCAATTCGTTACTGTTATTGGTCCCCACAAGGACATACACACAGAAACACGCACTCGTGAATGACGGTGGTCTGAATCATGGGCGGCTATGGACATGGCAAACAAAATCATCGTTCATGATCCGACGGTGGAAGTACCGGGATTCTCTCTTCTGCGACGACTGTGGACCACGCTGAACCGCGCTCGAACACGACACGGCAGATAGCGCGTGCACGTTCAATAAATGGAAGATCAAAGTATCGCCCGACTGCGACTGTGGCAAACCATCAAGCACGTTGCCGATGAATGCTCCATCCATGCACCTCCTGGCGGTATCGCTGAAATCCACACTGCGTCAACCCCACATCATTGGACTGGATGAGGAACCTTTGCATTTCATTTATGACGATCATTAAGAAAACATAAAACCTGTTGCTTTTCACAATGCCATACGAAAGAAGAAGAATGACGGACAACGCAAGTTTTGTTGGAAATAAAAAAAAATCTCTGAACCTTTATTAAAATCAAGTTCATCAATTCTGCACCCATCCCTACCGATAAAATAAAAAAATCAAGTGTTTTGTGAAATACCAAGAAAGGAGCCACAATATGAACCTTACATGTAAACTAAAATTAAATTACACCCACTTATAAAACATGAGAATGTTACCCCTTTTTGATCGATCTAAAATCATGTTTGAAACGTTAAGGTGTTTTGTTTATGAAAAAAAAACCCAGTGGAGGACAGAACACAACATCGTCGGATGTACAATGGTTGCTGTTGCTGCCAATCGACACACACGGCCAGCCCCACGGGACATTATTTTAGATTCATTGAAGTAATAACCGTCCAACGCACACCAGGCACGACGCCACGCCGTCACGGCAACACTTCCCGCAGCTCCGGCTCAGGTTGCCGATTGCAACCACTTCTCTCTCTTTATATTTATAAAAAAAGTCAACAGGAAATAGATGTTTTTTTTCGGGCACTCGCCTTCCCACCGTAGTTAAGGCTGCTTCTAAATGCTAACGGGGAACCGTCGCCAAACACAGAATTTTCCACTTGCGGTGGGTTTCCAGTTGCGCGGTGTTGTTTGGTATTGGTGGCGGCAGGCAGCCTGAGCTTACAATTCAGTCGGTGCTCGGAGCCGTTTCTGAGAATTTATGCGAAGCCAAATAGCAATTGGCAGCGGAGCTGAAGCGAGCGCACTAACGAAGGTAAATTAACAGCAAAAACGAGGACAAAAATAGGTTCGGGCCGACACTCGTTGTTTCATGTCGAACGTAAGCAGCCACAAGTGGGTGACGGCGGCTTTAAACTGTCGCCTATTGGTTATTGCCGCCTCTATAGTCCTGTAGCAGAGACATAAATAAGAATCCCTCGTAAGAACACTCTAATAACAAGCGCTACATCCGAGGTTCCATTCGGCATCTCAAATATGTGTGTGTGTGGGGAGGAGGAGGGGGGGGTTTGACACCTGAAAAGCAATTGCTAAAGATGCGTAAAAAAAGCAACTCCCTTGGCAAGACTTTTCCCTCCCCCCCTTCCCCAAAGCGAGCCCAGGTGTGATGCCAGATGTGCAATAGATGCACGCGCACACCACCAGGCACACAAGCGAAGACAGCATGAATGAATTAATCATTGGTGCTTATTCATTCCAGCAAAAAGGTTTTCACCGTTTCAGCAGAATCCTGCTGTGGCCGGGTGCCTCAAATATCAGAGTGCTGACCCGGCACCACATTGACCCTTGGTACGAATCCAGTGTGTCCCGGTCCACGAATGACTGCACACACAAAAAAAAACCCCGTAACATTGAATTTGGTCCTGCAGATAATTCGGCTAAATTCCAGTCGAGAAATGCAAACTTTCAGTTTGTCTTGTCATGTCACGGGCAATTCCTCTCTATTGCAGAGCGAGGTGGGACAGTGCTGCTCCCTAGTGAGGATTAGAGGTCACTTGAAGACATTTCAGAAGCAGTTCTCTGATATTTTCTTCTGCGGACCCATTCTATAACGGGGAGGCGCTCTGTTCTGCGACAGTTCTGAATAGGTTCTTCATGTCGTGACTATGATAAAAGGTTGGAGAAAAAGACACAAAAAAGCGATTTTTAACCATTTACCTATTTTTCCCAGACACCCGAAATCATGGCCCTGCAGTGATTTGCCGCTGCAATGCAGACCCGCCAATTTGTGTCGGGGCAATTTTATTCGGTGCTTTGAAGTGGGGAGCGCCACGGCTGGAAAGTGCAGGAGAGGCTCCATAAACATTTCGCGCAAGCGTGTTCAAGAGGCTGCAAGTAAGCTGGAATTCACCACCGCAGTGATCACTTAGCAAGCAAGTTCCGTGCCCGCGCGCTTATTGAGGCGAGGACTGCCGCGATATGATTTTTTCGTGATATCCGATAGGCTATTCCCATTTCAAGATACGTCTATTAGCGCAATATCAGTTTCTTCGTAGCCTCGTAATTTGCGTTTCACATTCTCGTCATACGGTTGTTGTGCTTTGATGTACTTTAAAGTGCAAGACGAGTGCTGAAAGGATATCCCACTGCAGTTATCTCAACACGTCTAATCACTGCGCCTTTACAATGGACAGTGCTCAAAGCTCGTCAGAAAATGATGACGTCTTATAATCGCCATCCTGCCGACTACTCCATTCAAATTGTTTCATGAGTAATAGCTTTGTTTTTACTTTAACTACGACCGTAAACTTTTTAAACTATCGTTCTTTGAGAAAAAAATCTGTAGAGGAAATAGGAAAAAAAGGTACGTGAATAATGCGACACAGTTATCGTCACGTGACGATGGTTTTTTTGCAAATGGGTATAGCTACGATATATCGTGGTTCGCACGATATATCGTGGGTCGCACGATATATCGTGGTTCGCACGATATATCGTGGGTCGCACGATATATCGTGGGTCGCACGATATATCGTCGCGTCCCCCTATTGCGGCAGCCCTATTTGAGAAGCAATGATGAAAGTTTCGCGAGCGGACACTGTACACAAGTGGGCGAATAGAAAAAAAACAACCCCCCAATAAAAACCAAACACTGGGTGACATTACAAAATCAAACGATTTAGGAAATCTGGCATTATCGTATGTACACACGTGTATGTATATACAGTATTCATATGTACAAGCGTACAATAGAAAACTTTTTATTTATTTTGCAGCTACACTGTAAGTCATGTTTTTTTTTATCACAGGATTGTAGGCATGTGGCGATTCGTCAGAGTGAAGTCGGTGTTTTCCCAAGTCGTTTCTGCTGCCCGATGTGCGTTCCGGGTTGTCGTTCGGCGTGATGTTCGACGGTTCGCTCCCCGTGCCAAGAGCTTTCCGGCTCCCGGGAACACGTCGAAGTACCGTGAAGCCCAACCGCAGAAAACAAAGAACACACAAACCCTTGAGCAGCGGTGTAGGTTGTGCATCTGCCCATTCACGTGAGTCCACGAGAGAGTCCATAGAGCCGTCGAGTTCAACATGTAACCGCGAGGAAAACCAAAAGTATTCTTGATGGAGTTGTTACAGGAAAGGCGCTGCGTCAATACCGTGCACGAGGCGAGAGAACCTCACCGCTACACTGCATCACAAACATCATCAGACATTCGCTATCAACTGCTGGTTGAACGCATTTGTATTATTACGAAACTAAATTGTAAAGTTACGTTTGAAGACAGTGATATCTGTCGGCAGGTTAAAGGGGTGTGGTGTGATTCCGAATTGAATCGCGATCCTGAATCATGAACATTTTGCAAATATTGGGAAGGTTAGATTTGCTCCATCTCTACCAGAGTATTGAGATCACCTTCCTCACAACTTTAACTTGAAAAAACTGAAATTTTTTGTTTTGTTTTGGGCCACAATAATAAACCCAGGCCATTGTACGTTCAGTAAGATCAGCAGTGAATCGAGAGGGGGGTGGAGAGGAAGAGGGGGGGCAATGTCATTACATTTTGAACATTCTATACCAATAAACCATTATTGCACCAAACATGAAAAAGTGCCACAACTTGGGCGAAACTATCATTTATCCCACAAGGTTGAAACTCAAATAAAACAAACAAACCGGCGTGCGTTTGATTGTTAATTCGTCTCGATTTGCATTCAGAAAGAAATAAACTTTAAAAAAGTAAGCTAAATACCCCCGGAAATTGACGGAGCGAAGGCTGCTCACGGTCAAACTTGAGCGCCAATTTTTCTACCGACGTTCTGCTGCGAACGAATCTCCACACCGCATCGCCGAATGGCAACGGTATTGCGGCGACGGACAACCCGTTGGGAGTGGCATTTTCCCTTCGTGTTGGATTAACACGCGGGACCGCGTCTTCCCGTCGGGAAAAACAAACGCAACTTTTGAAAAGCTGCGGCGTGCGTCTCGCAATCGTGCCCCTCGTTCCGTCCGTCTCTTAGCAGCGTGACCCCCACCCCCCCCCCCACCCACCCCTGTACGACACTTCTGTAGGTTGTTCATCGTTTCTGCCGATCAAGAGATTTAAAACTGCCAGATGTTTTACGTTGCAAAATCTCAAATAAATATCTACGGGACCATTTTCTTTTTGCCGGTATCAAAATTATGAAGAAAAAAAAAAGAATAGGCTTTACCCTCCCCAGGAATAATACAGCTGTTCAGATGTTCAAATACCAAATAGAGCATGTTTGTTTGCATATTTTACCACAAGCATGTGTGGTGAATGCAGACCTGATGCCTTGCGTTGTGTGCCTATTTGGTGTTTGAACAGCTTAACACCTCCTGTAATTATTTCCGGAAAGGGTAAAGCCTATTCTTTATTGCCAACGTGTGATGGAGAATGAAGTTCCTGAGTGAAACGATTTGCTTGATGTGCTAGTTTCCTGCAGTGACAGACACAAGCCAGGACTCTGCACAATTTTTGATTTATGCCACCAAAAACGTACGCACGCATGCACACGCACGCATGCACACGCAACGCACCGACGCACACTTTTGGACGTGCCAGCCCGGACTGCCCCACAGGCATCAACACAAGAGCGGACTCGTAGTGAATACAAATCCTTCGCACTTCAACGTAGGTCGTCTTGAGCCTCGCCAGATCTTTAACCACTCAGAGAGGCCACTCTTCCTGACGTTTAGCTTGCTCGTCCGTCCTTTTCCACGAGATTTTTTTTTAAATAGTTTTTACAATTCTGCAGCGCGGCATTCGAACGGGGTGGGCTGTGTTCCAGCACGCGCGTGCGTGTGTGTGTGTGCGCGCGTGCATGGCGCGTGTGTGTGCCTGAGCGCCCTTGTCCATATGTTCGTGTATGAATGTGTCTTTGTCTTTGTGTGTGCCCATGTCTTCGTGTGTGCAAGTGCGCGAGTGGCTGGTAGGGCCAACACCATGTATATCCGTCTGCCTTAACCGGTACTAATGTTGACCACACTGCACCAGGTACACATTTTAGGCTGAGTTGACCTTAGGGAAGTCCACCATCGGTCAGATTCAGTTACAGAATTGCCACACATGTTGTGCATCATGGCGAGCAATCAAACCTGGGTCACTGTGATCGTTAACACGTGAATTACGTTACAACCCGAACTCTATTTAACTTCCCTCACAATAAGCGGTCACTCGCAGCACTTTCCCCAAACGTCTATAAGGCTAAACAGAGGGTTCTTTGTGTGCGTGCGTGCCTGCGTGCGTGCGTGTGCGCGTGCGTGCTTGTTGCATGCACGTGTGCTCGCACGTTCGAACAAAAAAGCGTGCGGTCGTCAGAACGACCCGTTCGGACGTACAGGCGCCCAGAGACGTGCGCCGGCGGGAGGGGTGGGATGAGAGGGGGGTGAGGGGATGGGGAGAGAAGGCGCTCAATTCCACGGGTGAGAGCGCGCCCCGCCGCTGAAGTCCGTGCGGCTGCCTCCCCCCCCCCCCCACCCTCTCCCACTCTTCCGTCAGCGCTCCACTCTCGAGTCAGGAAAGGAGCGAGACTTTTGCAGGCTTGGCGGGGGGGGGGGGGGGGGGGGTGGGGAACGGACGGGCGGCAGAAGGTGCTAGCTGCTGTTGAACTTGGCCAGGACGGTGGCGTTGACGTTCTCGAAGAGCCAGCGCTGCGTGAGCGAGTCTCCGTCGCACGTGTTCATGAAGATCTTCTTCTCCGCCTGGTGGAAGTCCACGCAGCTGTTGCTGACCGGATGATAGAGGGTTTTGTCCTGGAGGGCAGCGGGCGGGTTTTTGCGAGCGAGCGAGTGAGCGAGCGGAGGGAGGGGGAGGCAGCGGAAGGAGAGTGACGGTTGAGACGCAAACGCGATGTGCTCAAGGGGCCGACTCGCGATTTCAGCGCGGGTCCGGGGGCCCCGTTAAAATGCCGAGTTTTATTAGCGCTTACACAAGACATTTGGAACGCGTCGTGATCTCACGGGGGGTTGGAAATTGGCACTCGTTCGTTTTCATGCCATTGTATGAAAACGAACGAGTGCCAAAATTAGTCGGTCTCAGGAGGGTCCTGCCTGATTGGGACGTTTGGCCAACATCCGTTGGTGAGCATTTGGCTTGAAAGTGCGAAGGGAACGGAGTGCCCGGAGATAATCTATGCAAACGAGGGGATGACACGCAACACTGCCATTCTCCTGGCCACATAGCAGCCCCACAACTACAACACTGTGTAAGTCCTGGGGGGTGTCACCGAAGCAGTAACCAGGCTCAACCCTGCTTAAGTGGGGGAGAAGGAGGGCGGGGGGGAGACAAATGTTTGCTGGCAGGAAAAAAACATTCCAATATTTACCAAATATTTGTTCGTGGGGAGGGAGGGGGAGGGGCGGGGCGAGAAAATATTTTCGACAAAAAATATTTGAGGGAGAACCAACATTCGTTTCCACCGTCGTTTTCGTGCCGTGAGGCGCAAGCGGACGGCCGTCGCCGGCGGGTTAGCGGGTTATAGCGTGTGGGCGGGCTCACGGGGCGGTATCGCCACAGCTGGTTCCCCTTCATGCCGTGGCAGTCGTAGAGCGTGACCGGGCCCGAGTGCGACACCGCGTCCAGGCAGAACTTGCGCGTGTGCAGCGGGTCGCCCGGGCGGACGTCCTCCCTCCAGCCGAACGTGAACACCTGTGGGGGCCGCGAAGAGCGACCCACGGGCAGCGGGGGGAGGAGGGAGGGGAGGGGGGGGAGGAGGCGACGGCGGCACGCGACCGGCGATGATAAATACAACTTTGGATGCAAATGCGCGAACGAGCGGAAGCCGCGACGATGAAATGTATGCCACGCATTCCGCGTGATTTGTTTTTTGGGGAACCGGGCGGTTGAGCATGAAGGACGCCTTGTCACCGGTGTGTAAATTTCCCAAGAATTGGGCGGGAGGCGGTGGCACTAAATCTTAATCTGAAAATGTCCGCTCTTGTTGTTATCAAACGGTTGGCATTTAAGTGTGAGGCTCTCCAGGAAACGGGCGTTCCGGCCGATGGAACTTCCCTCGAGTTGACCGAGATTTAAAGACCTTTACCACAAACGTTCGGTGCTTTGAAAACTTTTCTTGTGTTTTGGTGTACTCGTGGTGTTTTATTTTCTTTCCAGTTATTTTTAACGACTGCTTGCTACCAGTTAGGCTGCCCTGAGCCTCTAATATCAACTGGATATAATGTCAAACTTGATTTGACACAGAGGCATTGGGTCTCTGTGTGTCTATGTTCTGTGTCTCTCTCTGTGTCTGTGTTGTCTCTCTGCTTGTGTGTCTGTCTGTGTGTCTATGTTGTGTCTCTCTCTGTGTGTCTCTGTGTTGTCTCTCTCTGCTTGTGTGTCTCCGTGTCTGTGTTTTGTCTCTCTCTCAAATTTAGTTCTACCTGATGACGGTTGCTTGTGTTGCAATCGAAACGTCGTACTCTATTATTTAATTTATTTTCTTACTACGTGACTTTACCGAAAGAACCAAAGAGTGTATATAATGTCTTACGCATTCCACTCAAGTTGATGCATGACCTTACCATTCAGAAACTTGACCGTGCACAGTTGTTTGTGGTTTGTTTTATTCATGTTTCTTATGCTGTAACCAGGTTGATATGGTGCCCCCATTGAAAATAAGCATTTATTGTCCAATGGGTTTTAACTGTACCTAACCTAAACTCCTGGTTATGTTATTGGATGTCTAAACATGTGCGAAACCAATAATAATAATCATGAATTTTGTGGATAACATTCAACGATTTCATTTTATTGAAAACATTTATATTTGTTGTATGTATGTATTATCAACTTATTTCACACCGTACGTAGCCAAACGTGCTAATCGGTGTAAAAAAAACTTTTGGCAACATCCTGCACACGTCGAGGTAAGGAGTTAGAATTAATTGAAGGAACAATAATGGCTGCGCCCGTTTTGCACCTGGCTCGTAGGAGGTCTGTCCTGTCGGAGGTCGGTCCCGTCGGAGGTCGGTCCCACGGTGTCCGGGCGACATTTCCTTACCTGCTCGTGCGACCAGGTGCGCTCCGAGCCGTCCTTCACACACGTGTCAAGACGTAGCTCCGTGCCAGTCCCCCCATGCTTTCCGTCGATGCACAGGTTGGCTGCCGAGTTCCTGATCTGCGCCGGACAAATCGATGGGCAGTAGACGTCAGTGCACGTGGAGGGATGTCCTGACAAGTACAGCCTGCTTGTGTTCATCCACTGCTGGATGAGGGCTTTCCCTATATGCCGTGCAGCTTGATGGAGATTATTCGACCGTAGTTTTAATTTCCCTGTCCAAGGGCAAGTCCATGGCTCAGGCTCCATCTGGACCATTCAATGCCACTCCCACACGTACGTGCAGCAACATGAGTGGGGGAAGATTTACCTCCTCGCATTTACTCCCGGTAAAGAACAAATAAACCAAAATGAGATCGCACCCAAATCTGTGCAGGTGTGCTGTCTGTAATTGCAGGTTTGAGGTCAATTTAGAGTCAGCTTTAAGCTTGTTAGGGCTCTCTTTGCATCAGACCGAAGTGTACGGAGCTGCTTAGCATAACGACGCGGTTTGAAGGAGAATCTCGTGGAAATATAACAAAATTGGAAAAGCTTCCTTAATGGGCCTGAGAAACGCCACCTAATGAAAACTAGGCCTTAACCTTTACACTGTTGGACTCGAAGCAGGAGCACAGGGGAATTCATGATAATTTCATGAAGGGGTTGTTTTATTTTTACCCCCCTTGCTTAGTTGCGCTTTCAATTTTAATCGACCTCTGTCAGGTTACCGGTGTCAACTTCTACTCCTGGGGATATTTTTTTCAAAACACCACTTGTAATACAATTATATAACGAATGAGAAAGCAACCCCTTTTGTACCGAAACGTTATCCTCACCGCGTACGTTTAGCTCCATGCAACATGCAAGGTGCCTTAAGGGGTTAATTGCAAAGTTTTGGTCACTTCTGTGGCGAACCGAACGTTTCCTTGGAATTACGCTGCGTCCAATCTAATTTTTTCCAAACTAATGTTCCAGTGCGGGGGCGTGGGAGGGGTCATGTTTGTAGCGTACGTATCTTATCCTCCCGCGTGCACGTGCACACGGTGGAGCCCCACGCTGAATTGTGCTCGCGTAGTTAATTTGGTATTCCGTCTGCTATCCACTCATTGGCGCACACGCGGTCAAAGAGCACCGTCAACTTATTAAGGCCAGCGCAATCATAATAATCGTTATTAATATGACGCACGAATGTTACAAAAAGCAGGTTTGTAAGATGTATCAATTACGAAAAAATGTTTTAACCCATTTATGAGGATGGCAGAAGGGCAGTTTTCCACCGAGAATTGGCAAAATATATATTTTCTGCCAATTTGCCACAATTGTACGCGTAAAAACACTATATCTGGAAAAAAAGTGGTGTGTTCTCCGACGCATAATTTGGGCTTGTAATCATCAAGCTTTCATGAATACGTATTTACAAACTGGGTTGGAAGGGTGGCGCGATGATTTGCGCACTGCGCTGTAAACTCGACGACCCAAAGTTTTTATTCCCATCCACGTCTAATATCAGCGCCGGGTGATATCTTTTAACCGATCATGATCCCTCACTCTTCTTGACAAAACCCGTTCTTCTTCTTTGGTTCTTTCGGTAAAGTCACGTAGAATGAGAATAAAATAATAAATTGATAAAATAAAATAACACAATAATATTCTCAAGACGTTTCGGCCACAACACAAGCGGCCTTCATCAGGTGAAGGGGACGAGACTGTCTGGAGGACAGCGCTGGAGTGATTCATCTTCTTTGCCGAAACGTCGTGAGAATATTATTGTGTTATTTTATTTTATCAATTTATTATTTTATTCTCATTCTACGTGACTTTACCGAAAGAACCAAAGAAGATGAATCCTTGCAGTCACGAAAGCTTTAAATCGAAAAAACCCGTTCTAACCAGTGCGGTGAATTATGGTCCATCAATTGCCCCTACTGGACATCTGTGAAAAAGAGCTTTAGAGCTCATTGGATTCCTCCAGTATAAATACATTTTCTGATTCTAATTCTGACAATGGGGGAGGCCTACATTCAACAGTCACTTGGCAAAGGCCTTCTAATTACTATCATTACCATTCTAATGTCGCCTATTTGTTTATAAACACATTGTATAAATGTTGTAGACATACCATCCACCCAAGAGGCATTCAAACAATGTCAAGGATGAGCTTTCTTTCGTAAGCTCACGCTGCCTGAATGCCAGCTTTATTTCAGAAGTCGCTCTGTGTCTATGTACAGATCGTGGGGTGCCACGGTGGCGAGATGTTAACTACGTCGCCTGGTATTCAGGAGGTCGTGGGTTCGATCCCTACCCTGACGCCTGCTGTATATATTGAGTTTGCGCGTCTCTCTCCGGGTCCTCCGGTTTTTCCGTCCACATTTAGAAACGTTCGTTCAGAGTATTTGGCTTCTATAAATGTCCACATGATAAGCCACCTCTTTGAATGATCATTTGTGGCCAGGTCTCTTCTGAAAAAATCTACATAGCTCAGTGGGCCTTACCTGGCAAAATATTAATAGTTTAGTTAATATGCGGAGGGACTAAGTGAACTGCCCACCGATGGCTTGAGGCGGCTTGCGACTTATTGGTGAAGAGTCCCTAATCCCCCCGTGGAAACTGTGGGACTCATTGGTGCTGCCCTGGCTGCCCTGGCTGCCCTGGCTGCCCTGGCTGCCCTGGCTGCCTCGAGGGCTCATTGTTGCTGTTCGGCCCCGGTTGCTTCATCCCGCCCTGCCGCACCACAATCCCCTTCGCCCCCCCCCACCCAAAATGTATATATTTTTTATTTTGTGGAGCATCCTGAAGTGCTATTGCATTGAGATGCTGTATAAATAGAAATGTGTTCAGGCAACTGACAGCCAGGTGACGCTTCTATGACCTGCCACTATTGCCCCACTGGCTATTTGCCGCTGGCTATTTGCCGAGCCAGAAGCAAAGCGTGCTACGCTGGCCTCGCAAAGACATCTGAATCTGGCTCGGGTTCAAAAGCGGGGCTGGAGGCGGCGGGGATAATGAAGCATTCACGTCAGTGTGACGTCAGTGTGATGCCGGCGTGACGTCGGCGCGACGTCCGTGAGTGACAACTCGACGCATCGTCACCACGTCACCTACGCGCGTCTCGACTCAATCCACTGACTGCGTGCGACGTCAGAGCGACGCCGGCGTGACGTCGGCAGCACGACTCGGCACGGCTTCCCTCCGATATTAGGAAGCCACTGGAGCTAAGCGCTTTTAACTCGAGATTGAAAACTCACCTCTCTGGAACTGCTTTAAGTGTTTAGTTTGCCATCCTTCCCCCGCACCTCGGATTAGCGGGGTTGGCTACGTACGGTGCCAAAGAAGTTAAACGTACATTCACGCGGCTTTGCTCCTGCAGTGGAAAAACAACCCTGGCGCTTCTCGACCCGCAGCCCCCCCCCCCCCCCCCCCCCCCCCGGGCACGGCTTCTGTCGTGCGCGAGTGAGCGGGAACAAAAAGAGACGCCGTAAAGTGGCTCGCGCTGCGCGGACGCGGGCACCTCTCCCCAGGCGGCGGCGGGCGGCTCGACGGGCGGGTAGAAGCGGGCCAGGTCCCACGCCACCTCCTGCATGAACCACTTGAAGGAGTGGCAGTTGAGATGGCGCCGCAGCTCCTTCTGGGCGGTGAGGTCGCCGGCCGACAGGTGGCGGTACTCGGGCCGCCGCTGGTACACGAACTCGGCGTATTCGTCCATCCACACCTCCGCCACGCGCTTCAGGTTCTGTCCACGTGGGGGGTGGGGGGGGATACATGCGCGTGCCGGTCACTGGGTGCCCCCGCTGTGGATATCAGAAGGTAGAGGGGACAGCCCTGGCAATTTCTCGCTCGCGCCACTGCTGGGACAAGAGTTGCCTCCCGCTAGAGGGAGCTCTCGGGGTTATGTTGGCCGACTCTCGCATGCTGGAATGATGGCTTGGAAGAGGTGGGAGAACACCCCCGTACTTTGTCCAACCACGTGTGACCAGCCGATCGACTGCGATGAATCCAGTTATCCTGCTGCTTGAGGGGAGTCGAGGGGGGAATTAAGAACGCCGCGATCTCTGGATTGTTCAGTGTGCTAACTAGTACATCGTGGCCGTAGGGCACCACGGTGGTAAGATATTAACTACTTCGCCTGGTATACAGGAGGTCGTGGGTTCAATCCCAATCCTGACACCTGCTGTGTATTTCGAGTCTGCATGTTCTCCCCATAGTCGCCCAAATTTTTCTCCAGGTCCTCCGGTTCCCCCCCCCCCCCCCTACATTTAGAAAAATGCGTTGAGAGTATTTGGTTGGTATAAATGTCCACGTGATGATAAGCCACTTCGTTGAGCTTATCTTGTGTGGCCAGGTCGTTTATGAAAAATAGCTATTTAGCTCAGTGGGATGTGCCTGGTAAGAAAAAATGTTTATAGTTTTTTAAGTTGCAGGGCTGTGACGCCTTAACGCTGGAAGCACATAGATTCTTGGGGACAGGTACGCAGTCGTTTTAGGATGTCTGTAGTTTATACGTATATTCTCTATGTATGCATGTTGCACTTCTTTCGCACCGTACATAGTCAACTGCGCAAATGAGAGGTGCAATATGATTAAACAAAGCGACAAGTATCGGTCAAGGGGGATGTTTGACCATACTTCACCACACGGTGGACAATGTGGATTGGTGGGAGGGGGGGGGGAGCCAGGACTGATTTAGATATCACTTGCCACCGATGTTGGCCGTTGGTCGGGAATTGAGCTCGGTTCATACAGCGCAAACCACTGCACCGCCGTTCCACTCTTCGTAATTTATACGGCTGTAAAGTCAGCCCGTAATTATTTGCCGCTACACAATAAAATAAACGGGGGCATAATCACTGCGCTGTACATCAAAATTACATGATACAATCATGGACACACACAATATACACAATATTTACTGCACAAGACCACTGAAGCGGCAATATTTTAGTATCACATATATGTCGCACACGTGGGCCCACACACACGTACACACACACACAGAAATTTTAGTACCACGTATACGCCTGGCACGTGGGCCCACAAAGATCCCCCATATAGCCTTAACAGACTGTAGGGGCAAGTGCTGTTAGCGAGCACCTATGAAGGCCGGAACGGTGCACGAGGGGGTGGGTGGCCAGCACCACGCCCGACCGCCTTTGTCTCCCTAGTGGCAATGTTTACACACTGCACCAGGTACTCATTTGAGGCTGAGTCGACCTAGGGGAGGCCCGGGACCGGTTCAGATAATCGTCACTGGTGTTGGCCGTGAGCGGGAATCGAACCCGTGTCGCCGGGTTCATAGCGCAGCGCGCTAACCGCTACACTACCGCTCCCCCACAACGTGGGCCCACACACACGTACACACACACACACACAGATATTCACTAAGGTTTTGAACATGCGGTAGATAATCTGAATAGAGACATAAAACTCCAGTTAAGTAATGCGAATAAAGATGTCCGACTCCTGTAAAGCATAATTAGCCCCAGTTGCATGTGATTATACGATGCGTGGCTTGCATGTGGTGGACCCGCGCATGTAAGTAATATTTACTGCGTGAGAGGGCCCCCAAATGGCTGCTCGTTTTCACGAACTCCCACACAACCCTTCGGGCTCCATAATTTGAAAACGGGGCAAAAGGATAAAGACATAAGGTCCTACGCGTGTAGCCTCTAACAGACTTTGGGGGCACGTGCTGTGAGCAAGGAGTGACCTCTGAAGGTCGGCACTTGTGGCACACGAGAGCCGGCGGGTGGCCAGTGCCGCAAACGCCCGGCAGCCTTTGTCTCCCCAGTGGCGATGTTTACAGACCGCACCAGGTACTCATTTGAGGTTGAGTCGACCTCGGGGAGGCCCAGAACCGGTTCAGATAATCGTCACTGGTGTTGACTGTGAGCGGGAATCGAACCCGGTTCGCCAGGTTCGTAGCGCAGCACACTAACCACTACACCACCGCTCCACACTACACACACACACACACGTGTGTGTGTGTGTGTGTAGTGTGTGTATGTACACACACACACACACGTGTACACACACACACGTACGTACGAGCGCGGTATCCGTGCCGTACCCTACGACAACAACTCCAGTCCCTTGCGACCCCCGGCCACGCTTCGCCTCTTCGTGATCGCCCGCTCATCTACATTCGCATGCAAATTGAACCCTCCGCACAACTTGAAAAAAGGCGCCCGATGGCTGGTCATCGCGGAAGGCGGCGCCGGAGCGGAGCGGCTATGAGCAGAGTTGGACAGACGCCGCGCGGTGCCACCAGAGGCACCTCGAGGGTCGAGCCCGAAACGTTTTTCACGACGGGGGGGTGGGGGGGGTGGCGGCTGCGTCGTGACGGCCACGTCGCCTGTTCTCTTGCTCGCGCGCGCCGATCGATGATCCGATGAAATATCGACGCGGTGAATTTTATTCGTCTTAAGCCGTACGCGTCATTTCACCGGGTAATGCAATGAACGAGATGGGATGACGGCCCATGGTAGATTGGGGGGAGGCAATCTGTTTAAAAAAAATAATATTTCACATCCAGCAAGGGCCTCAGTGATTCTCAAGACTCTACCGTCGCAGGGGGCTGCTCACACACAATTAGGAGGCATGAAGAGCAACATCTCTTTGAGGAACGCTTGCGGACGAGAGGAAACGAAAGAAGACCGAGGGGAAGCCACACACGTACGACATGACGACGCTCAAACACCAGGAGGGACAGGCGAGCGACTTGCTTGCTGCACCGCCACACGCTGCACGCATCCTCGCTCTGCAGGAGGATGGGGAACAGACCCGTGCGTGTAACTCTAAGCTCTTCTGTATTTCTTCTTAATCTCACCAGGCAAGGCCCACCTGAGTGACACAGCTCTTTTTCAGAAGCGATTCTGGCCACAGATGATAGCTCAAACGAAGCGGCTTAGGGCCCATCCATTTAGTGCGTACACAAACATCTGTCTAAACTTAACCCGTCCCCCCCCCCTCCCTGTACGCACGCGGACTTTTTACCCCCCCCCCCCCCACCTGCGAATCCTATAGAACGGCCGATATTTAATCCACGCAGAAACGAACAAGGATTAATAATATTAACATGTTTAAGCAAACAGAGAGTCCACCGCAGGACTATCTAACTAATTTTAAGGCCAATGTAGACAAATTATTATCGAGGCTTCACCCCCCCTCCCCCCCCCCCGTTTCGTTTCCTATGCGTACATTGTCAGTAGACCCCCCATACGCAAGCGGTACGCATTTGGGTTAACCCCCCCTCCCCCCTCCATGCTTACGGACTCAATGGATGGCCTCTTGTGTAGATATTTATAGCAGGCAAATACTCTAAACGCGAAATGCGTGTTTCTAAATGTGGTGGGGGGGAGGGGGAACCCAGAGAAAAATTCACACGACCACGGAGCAAAACCACGACCTCCTGTATACCAGGCGAGGGAGTTCACATCTCACCACTCGTGACCCCAGCTCCAGGATAGCCCTTAGCCCCCATCAAACCCAATCCCCCCCCCCCCACCAGCTCCAGTGTTCAAACGCCGCCCCCACCGAGAGCCCTGCCAAAGCCGGACTCGACGAGAGAGGGTCGAGGTCGCCACGGGCAGAGCACGTGGCGGGCAGTGGCGCAACGGGAGGACCCGCTGCTGCCGGACGCGCCGGTCCACCACGCGCTCTGACAGCGGCAACCCAGCGCGCTCACGTTGTCCGACTAAATACAAAACATAATCCACTTAAAATGTCGTTTGTTTAAAACAGGAAGTGTATTTGTCGGTTGAATTCATTGTTATATATTTTATACATTGATATAAATGTAATTGCATGTATTCAAATGTACTTCAGCAGCCACCCCCCCCCCCCTCCCCGTAAGAATGTTTTACCCATTGCCAATGGTCTCCAACAACGCAAGGAGCCTGGCGGAGGGGAGAGAGAAGCGGAGGGGGGGGGTGCTACATGACGCCAAAAACTCTGCACAGAGAGAGAGAAAATACTAGACGATGGTGATGATGGTGACGATGGGATGTTGTTCCGCAGACGTGTGCAAGCAGGCGCCCGCCACCGCAATACGAATTCGGCGCAGGATCCGACTTCTCAACGCGGCACGAATCAGCTCGGTGGCCGCACGGCCGCTCAGGGAGTGCTGTCTTTACCGTGAGCCATCTGTTTGTTGCACGCGATTGGGGTGAGGTGGGCGGGGTGGTGAGAGGGGAGTAGCAATGACGCGCGGGATTGTACGATTCTTTAGGGCCCTCTTGCAGATGTGGGACAGCTGCCACGCTTGCGCTTCGGTAAAAGAAACACAAAAATAAAACAGGCAGTTGCTCTCAGAGAGAACGGCGGCATCGAGAAGTGGGGGGGGGGGGGCAGATATTGATTTTTCTATTGCTTGGGCCACGTGGTTAAAGGTGGAATCATAAATCCGACATCAATTTGAAAAAAAAAATACCGCACCATCCAGTTGGGAGTCTGCCGCACGATAAGCGAAGAAGGAACACTTTACCGCTGATGTCAATTATGAAATAATAGCCACCGATACATGCCGGGGAAATTAAAATAGTTTGAGAATGGCAAATTGGAAGGAAACGTGAGTTATTACTTTATTTCTAACATAATAGAATATGCCATGACAATATTGCCAAAATACTTGTACGAGTGAACATGAACACAGCCTAGGTTGGAGAGCCGGGCTATCAGCTCACGAGCTGAAATTACATTCAAGGTTGAGTTGACGAACCCTCTCATTATCACTGTTGCCATCTTTACCTTCGCTACCGTAGTTATCATGATCAGTGTCCGAATCTCCACCATTACCATCATCATTATTGTTGCCGTCATGATCATCACCATCATCACTACAATCATCATCACAGCCATAGTTCTCACTGGCATCATCATTGTCGTGATCATACTCATCATGGTATCTATAGGGTCAGTAAAAAGAGCACAATGCATGGCAGTGTTTGTCGTACTGACTGATAATTCAGCCCCCTCCAGAGATGTGCAATATCCATCAAAGCAAAGAGGTCAGCAACAGAGATAAACTCAGAATCAGAATATTTATTAATCCTTGGAGTCATCCGATGAGCCATGAATCTCTTTTTCACTCTGCTCAACACACACTAAAGCATAGCGGCACGTGCCACACACTCAAGCGTACGCCAAAACCGCACGTATGTACACCCAGAGACACGGTAAACACACAGACCCATTTAAATCTGGCAGTCTGACTGACAATCCCAGCCTCAAGTGTCATCGTGCAGATTTACCCAAGGAGAGATATCATGTTGCGTTGGAGGATTACCCCCCGATGGCTCACCTTGTTCTCACTCGGTAGAGGGGGCGCGAACAACGTCGGTGAATGATGACAAACAACAAAGAGCGAAAGGTTCCTCCCTCAGAAAAGTGTCGTTTGGGGCTATGGGTATCGGAAGGGCGAGTACTCGTGGCTTATTGACGAGCTGGTTAGGGTTGGGGTAGAGCTAGCACTCATGGCGAGTTCGTTGGTTAGGGGTGGAATTTGGTTAGCTAGTTGGCAAGGGTGAGGGCAGGGCTAGCATTTGGTTGGCCGGTGTGCGCCACCCAACCTGCTGGCCCCTGGCTCCCCATGCCAACGAAAGGTTCTCGGGCAGAGTCTTCGGCATTTGGCTGCACGTGCTGGGGAGCTCCTTGAGGAGCTGAGCAGCGGGGTCCGGGGGACTCCCGTGGCAACGTTCAGGAGGATCACGCGGAAGCTCCGAGCGGCACGCGGAGCGAAGAATCGCGCCGGACACCATCGTGCGCAACGACGCGCGGCGCGAAACGAAAAGCACGCCAGAGAGTCCACGCAGCGCAAGCGCGGAAGGAAGGCTGAAAAACTAAAATGGGAAATAAACCCCCCCCCCCCCTAGGCAATAACGTACTGCCTCATCAGCCTTCACCATGCTCGGTTTCCGGTGCCCGGTGTGTTTTTGTTTTGCTTTTACCTTGGCCAGGCTCGTCCCCGCAGGCACTTTGTACGGCACGTACTTGCGGTAGATGTGTCCGACCCGCGAGCACGGCACGTCTTCCATACGCCCGCCGCACATCCAAACCTTGGAACAGCAGGGGATGGGGGGGGGGAAGAGTGTGAGATGGAGTGTGAGATGGGGGCGGGGAGCGGGGAGGGGCGGGGAGGTGGGAGGACGAGGTGATGAGAAAGCAGTGACCTTATCGAGCGGTCGGACGGGGACAACGTGGGCTGTGGCGTCCTCAAAAGAGACTGACGATGTCGGTCCACGAAGACAAACGTCCAATGCGCACGACAGAGGAAAGGCGCGAAAGGCCTTCGAGGGATTGAGCCGGTGATCGGTAATGCATGTGAAAGTTACGAGCAAGCAAACTGGACACAACGTATGTCTTGATTATAAATTTGCTGTTGCAAGAAAACCGCACGCGAGCTTTGTAAGTAAACAAAATAGCTGGTGATGCTGCATCGGAAGCATCCACACATTCGTCACAATCGCAAATAACAGTGCCATAAAAAGGCAATGCATACACGTGCGATGAAGAAGGTCCATTGCCCCAAAACGTCGCCTCATATATTCTTTTCCCTTTAAGGCAGAGGCACTGAATAATGTTGATTTAGATGTTGTTATTTGTGCTTGTGCACCACTTGCCAACGCAACAGCAGCATCACCAAATAATGCGTCTCATGACAAATCTATGGGGGTTACCCTGCAACTGCAAATATGCACAATGATCAAGATCCTGGCTATGCACAATCGAGCTCCAGAAAACCACCGATCTTGTGGGCTTTGAGCCGGTCTCCCTCTGCCTCCCTCTATAAAACGAGTGGGTCCCACTCTTCCAGTACAGCGCTTTGAGAAGCGGTCACACTCAGACGCCCGCATTGCATCATGCCTTCTGTGCACAGCAGGATTTTTTTTTTATCACAAGGGTCGCCGTGCCTTCGTTCATCTTTTATCCATTCATGAAACGCACCCCCCCCCCCCCCCCCCCCCCCATTAATTTAAAATAAAACCACGGATCCGGCCCTTGAGACACCTGTGGCACGCGACAGCTCCGCTATCATTTGCCACCTGTTCATTCTTTCATCTCCCTCCTCTGTGTGCGGTGGATGAGTAGCGGCGGCAGGCGCCATGGAGCGCAGCGATAACAAGTAGGCTGGGGCAGTACCAGCGGTTGGGCGCGACTGCGAGGGGAGATTAAGGCGGAAGCCAGCGGTGGCTTGCGGTCGTGTCATTGGCATGCGCGATCTGTCAAGAAACGAGTGGCGTGAGCTCAGCCCCGAGTGGGACACAATGTGTGCATGTGAAGTCGGCGCGCGCACACGCACGCACCGCCCACGACCGCCCGTCCATCTGACGTGAAGTGGGGCACGCGCCCGTTTGATAACGCGCGTGGCACAAACGCGGATGAGTACGCGCGCCCTTCGGTAAAGATTCCCCGTATAGCTGTAAAAAAATATTGCCAGGGCACGGTGAAGCGGGATGGCCGGCGAAGGCGGTGAAGATGTGTAGAGGTGGGGGCAGATTTTGCGTTGGACATTGCGAGAGGTCACGGTGAGTCGCGGCGGCGGCAAATGGGCACGGCAAGAGAGTTGAAAAAATAGGAAACAAGGAAAGGCTCTCGCGAGAGCGCCGAACCATTCAAAGCAACGGCACGATAATTCAGCGACTGCAGGGAAATGCTCGTGGAACAAGCAATCCCACCGGGTGTGCACAACGCACATATCAAATAAAGCATAAATAAGTAAACTGTAAGGAGATGAAAACAACAACGATGATGAAGCAAAAAAAAAGACAAGTGCCGAGAGAACCAGTTATTTATTTACACTGCATTCACCTTGAGATGCATCAACAAAGATCCCTCGGCCAATTTGACACGAGCTGCTGGCAGAGCGGCTCGCAGACCCTGCACCCAGCGCCGCATTTTCCTCATAGCAAAAGTAGCGACACGTAGCTACGGGCCCCGCAATTTCAAGGGCCCCGCGCTAAATGCTTTCAAGCTATCAATTCCGGTTCAGTGATTCTGCACTTGCTCTATTACCATAGTACTATACCGCCTTCAACTTTTATGAACGCCTGGGTGTTTAAGGTTAACGATTTGTCGTATTAATTATCTGGTTGTATAGCAAATGAAAAAATACAATTACTTTACTTTTGCAAGTAAAAAAAAATTGTGTTAAAATGTGTATATTTTTTTATTTAGGGCCCCTTTATAACATCATATGCTACAGGCCCCGCACTAGCTTAATCCGGCACTATCTGCACCCCGCGGCGTCGGCGGAAGAGGCGACGGTGGGCGACAGATTTTTGTGAACGGCGCTCAGAATTAACGTGCCGAGCCTCGCAATTCTGCCACCCTCCCTTAGCACCTCTTGGCCCCCGAAATTCCCCCTTAAATTCACGTGTCACATCTTAGCACGCGCGGTGACCAAGGAAGCGGCAAAAAAAAATCAAGGGAGAAGACGAGCCAGAGGGGGAGAGAGAGAGAGAGAGAGAAAGGGATGTAGTGGTGGGGAAGGGGAGGGGGCGCGCGGGGGGGGGGTCAGCCCGCAGAGAAGGTGTGGGAGTGAGAGGGAACGGGATAGAGGGATGGTGGCTTTCATTGCAGGTGCGGTGATTACATTTTTTTAAGTGGTCTCTGTGGCCACAAGACAGAAAGAACAGGATTAACATTCAGCTCCCCGACTCCCTTACTCCCGCTCTCTTGTCGTCCCTCAGTTTCCCCGTCCCTCACCCACTCAGCCCTTAACCAAGAATGAGGATGGATGTTGCCATTTGCAGCGCGATTTTTTTTTATTTCAGACTGGGGAAAAAAATTTGGGAGAGAATAGTGGAGCAAGGAATGATAGCAGTAACAAGACGTATCTCTCTCCGAGGTGGAATTCACGCAAACCCACTCTGATCAATACCAATTTGGTTCTGGCACTAACTGCAAATCTAACCCTTGTAATCAATGTTGAGATCCTTTATGTGCGGTGCTTTTAGCGAAAAAATAAAATATATATATATACACACACACACACCACGGATGTATAATACAATATTAGGATGCCGAGCAGAGCAGGCAATCCCAACACGGAATTGCGATGCACATGATTTAGCGACACAGTCCTTCCAGGTATCGGGAGAATAGTTCTGGTGCCAGGCATCGGTTCAGGAGAAGATACACACACGAGCGTTATTTATTCAGGAAAGCCTCAATGAGTCTCAGGACTCCTCTATTAGGAGGGCCCCAGCTGCATTAGGGTGCTCTGCCAATTCCATTGCCGAGCGTATGAGGGACACACACTCAATATACGCAGGTATTATCGAGTCGCGTACAATACGTGGTGGAGATTGTGGGTTGGGATGACAATGATTGGGGATTAGGCGGCGGTCACGATGGCGATCGTCATCAATTCGCATGTTTACGATTTGCTTCCCCAGCGATTCAATGAAGTGTCACGATTTCAGGGTCTTGATTTGTTTGAAATTCTATTTCGTCTCGTTTTTTACCTCGCCGTTTGTGTCGCCTCTTTTTTCTTTACCCTGTCTCGTTTGCACGGTTTGTATCGTGAGCCTAAATGGAACATTTGCATAACATCTGCATACATTTTTTCATAATAGCTTTACACACCTGATTCCATGCATGTAAGGTGAACACAGTAATTACGAATGATGAGTTTATGCTGCACGACATGACTAGTGTCAATCGACTGCAGGATGAAGGCCTCCCCCTTCCATGTGGATCTTGGAGTCGTTTGACCACACAACACCACGCTGGTCGGGGCAGATTTGTGAAAGGGGCACCTAGGAAAGTGTCAGATCTCACTCGGCACTGATGTTAGCCGTGGCCAGGGATCGAACTTGGGTCGCAGGGTTCATAGCGCAGTGTGCCAAACCACTGCAACACCGTGCCGCCAATGAAAACAGCCTGCCGATGATGATGATGATGGCGAGGATGACGCTACGTTAATCACGATGGAAGCATGAAAATTACGACAGTTTTATGATGTATTTCCGTCGTTTGGCACAGTGTCCGATGTGCCGCACATCTGGAAGCTTCTTCGGGAACTCGGCTCCTGGCACGTTAAGCGAAACCTCGGACAGTAGTAATGACGATGACAACAATGACATCTCAACCGACAACTATGACAATGCGGTGGCAATGACAAAAGCGGTGATGGCAAGGGCTTTTGTCTGCACCTTGAAGGAGATTTCGTACTGCTCCCCGCCCCAGATGTCCAGGCCCGGGTCGTAGGCTCCGAGCTCGTAAAACCAGCGGCGATCGATGGCAAACAGCCCACCGGCCATCACGGGGGACCTGCAGCACGCCACGCGTACCACGGCACAACGAGGCCAGGTCAGTCATCACGTCGCAGTGTGGTGACCAGATCACCCACCACAAGAATGTCCACTAAGCCGCGGACATCACATCGCCCGCTGTGGCAGGAGGGCTTTGATCCCTTGCCACGGCCAGAGAGGTGATCATCAGCCATGGCATAGCCACTCAATCATCCGCGATCGTAGTTTTGTTGAGCTAGGTGAGAACGCAATAGACCAGCACAGTCTTGTCTGCAAGATAGACCCGGAGCATTAATCTGTCAGGAAGGGGTGGCTGATTGCTATGCATTGTAATCCAAATTGAGTAATTTTGCGGTTAATTTGCGAATTTGGCAAGTTTGGGCACTGACGCTGGCGCGTAATGGCCTTTCCCTTGTGAACTACGTCAGGGGATCTTTAGCATACACACACCGCGAATCCGACGGCGCGTCGTGTTATCGGGGTGATTATTCCACACCGCAGTATTAACCAGGGCGTCCGCTGTTATTCGAACCGTGAATGTCCGGAGTGACTAGCGGCGTGCCTCAGCGCTGCCGCTGGGCCGCGTCGCTGCCCCTATGCCCTGTCGCGGTAAGAAGGCCGAGTGATATGCACCATGGCGTCCTGTGACATGTCCGGCCCTGGTAACCCATTGATGGAGACTGGGGTAGTAAATTAGAGTTCATAATCTATGTTAATAAGCTGCGCCTGACGTCAAAACAAAAAAAGAATCAATCGCAAGCTGGGGCGCTGCGACGTCGCGATGCGCAGCAGATGCTATCGTTACCGAGGTCCAAAGAGCCGGACGAAGGCACCCTTAACGTCATTAGGGTTCGGCGTTAATGCCCGAGGCTCAGAGAGGCCGGCCGAGACACATTTAGGATTCCCACGTATGAGTGTGAAATTGCCCAAAGGCTCAGAAAGGGTTAATGGTGACAAGTCTTGGGCTTCAGTGTTAATGCTCGAGGCTCATAAAGCCAGAACAAGACGCATATATGATTTTCAGAGTTTAGTATTAATGCCGAGGCTCACAGAGACAGACCGAGGCACATTTAGGATTCTCAGCAATCATTCTTTATGCTTAAGGCTCACAATTCATTATATTGAGAGGAGCATAGCTGCGGGGAATCACCACCTACCTAACATGTAATAAGGCTTTGCCGAGTCTTCAGGACTACGCTGCTGTGTTCGAGATGAAAGTCCAGTACCCAAAGAGACCCCCGCATACATAAGGTAATGAATCCTCAACTCCCTGCACAGACAGATTCAACAATGCATTGCTGAACTATCATCTCCCCGTAACCTTGCAGCCCACACCTGAAATACCTGTGATACACATCCAAGTACTCGCAAAGCTCACACCTGCTTAGCTACTAAAATCAGATGCAGTCAGGCACGTGCAGGGTGATTTAGTCGTGAGCATTTTGAGTTGGCGATGCTTGATGAATACACACGTCAAAACGATGACACATGTAAAGCTGACGATTTAATAATTACGACGATGTAGGTGGCGGTGGTGATGATGGAAAAAAACAATTACATTCGTCTTTACGTGTCGATTATGTTAGATTAAGTGTGCTAATTAATTTGCGTGCAGGATTCGTCGCCTTCCGTTTCAAATCATTAATGCGGTCAATCATCCAGAATGAATTCTGACAGGCGACTGTCAGACACCTCTGCCTGGAGTCTTGGTGCATGAGATCAGGCATCAGCAGGGACGGAAGCCAAGCAGTAAAAGGTGGCCACTCCGAAAATAACATATACACTCACGTGCTAACAGAGGGCGGGCAGGCGGGCGGGCGAGGGGGGGGTGGAGTAAATAAAAATAACTTGGGAAATATAAATAAAATAAAACAGAATTGAAATAAAACTTGCCCTTTCTGCGTGTGAAGAAAAACAATGCTGTCGTGGGACATGCTTAAATGAGTTTTCTTTCTGCTAAAATGCCTCGGACAAAACAAAAACCAAAGGAGCCAAGCGTGCAAAACGGAAGAAGCCTACCTGCCGCACAAAATCATTTATCTTGTTTCCATTTTATTTTCTCTTTGGTATTTTCAAACTAAATTCAACTCCTGGGCAAGAGCGAGGAAATGCTGTTTACACAACATGACACGCCACACACCCAGCTCAAGAGTGCACAGCCGACCACGGGCCCCTTGCGCTCTGCGCTCTCCACACGGCCGGTGCAAAACACAAAAGATCCCGCACAGGTAGCCAATGCGGTCTGCTGGGTCACGTGCTGTCAGCGAGTATCAGCACCGATGAAGGCCGTGCCACGGGGCACGAGGGGGGTGGGTGGCCAGCACCACTCCCGGCCGCTTTTTGTCCTCCCAGTGCTGATACTCGCCGACCTTTCGGAAGACCCAGGACCGATTCATAAATATTCGCCACAGATTGTCGGCAGTGTGCCAGAATCGAACTCGGGTCGCCAGGTTCGTAGCGCTCGGTGCTAACCAATATGCTACTGCTGCCCCCCACACAGCAGTGCACATGATACACACACACGCACGCAGCGTTCGTGCACACAGAGATCCAGCGTTGGGGTTAAAACAAAATAGTTCTCGTTCATTCCACCACCCCCCCCCCCCCCCGCCAATGTTATTCAAATTGTGCTCCTGATGTTACATCAGAAAGCAATGCCCCGACGTGTTTCCTCCCACGTGAAGCCAAGACAAGTGGCCATATATCGTAAAAGCTTAATTGCCCTCATTATTAAGCGAGACGTGAACCGTATAGCAACATAGGTCTGTAGAGTGGTAGCGTGGGCCTAAACCGCGTGATCCCCCTGCGTCAGGGGTGGACCAACGCCGGCTCGCGAGTGCCAGGATGCCGCTCTCCGGCAGTGCGGCTCGGCCGAGACGCGGCGATAACGTTCAACTTTTCAAAGCAACCTCATTCGAGACGGGCAGGAAATAAAAAATAAATCCGTGGAAGTGCGAGTGGCCTGGGGCAACTCCTCGCTTGCCGGCCCGGCAGAGCCCAGATCACGAGCACTCCCGTGGACGCTCCCGCAGATTTCTAAACTCAAAATCTCCACAAAGCAGGGCGAGCGAACAGGCTGAGTGACCGCTCCCACGTCACCCGCTCAGCGCATGCAAGCGCATGCGCCGTCAGCTTCTCTCATCACTCGCACCAAACATATATATGCATATATATAAAGTTGGAGCACTTGTTCTGTGCAAATGCACAATAGGTAAAGTCGTCGGTGTCTTGCGGCCCTCAGCCACATGAAGATCTTAGCGTGCGACTTCAAGGGTCAGGAGGTTTTTCTCCGGGTCCCCTGGTTTCTGCCGCAGTGGCTAGGAGATGTTAAACTACCTGGCCTGGTATGCAGCAAGTCGTGGGTTCGATTCCCCCACCCTAACGCCTGTTTTAATATTTGGAGTTTGCGTGTTCTCTCGTTTGTGCCGTGCAATTTTTCCCTTTATCCTCCGGTTTTTCCCTCCACACGAATGATCAACATCGCGCGTTGAAGAGTTTTGGCTGCGATACATTTTCACGTGATAAGCCACTTCGTTGAGCAATCATTTGTGGCCAGGTCACTTCTGAAAAAAAGAGCTATATAGCTCAGTGAGGCCTTACCTGGGTTAAAACAAACAAATACATGTCACTTTCATCATTTAGTTTTAACCTTGATTAGTTTGGCTGCCCCATCATGAATGCGTACCTTATTCTGGGAGTTGCTTTTCCGATTGTCACTCTCCTACGTTCCCCCATGCAGAAACGAGTACCAATTACGACGAGATGTCAGGATTCGTGCATTATGGTTACATTTCCAGTTAGTCACAGGATTTGTTTGAGCGCTATAGCATTGGGCATGAGCGTTTGAATAGTCGGCTCAATTCTGGGTTACAGTTACTGACAGCATTAAGAACAGTGTTTGGGATTAGCATTATAAAGTGAGCATTATGTTGTGGGCAGACACTGGGGGTACAGTTATTGCCAGGATTATAAGGATTGGGATTAGTATGGGTGTTGTGGGTAGATACTGGTGCACAGTTATTGCCAGGATTATTAGCGTGAGAGTCATAGTTAGCATTAGTGTCAAGCTAAGACAGCAGGGTTAGAGTTATTGCCAGGATTAGTTTGAGTGTTGGGATTAGCACCACAGCATTAGTGCCATGGGTAGACACTCGGGCACGGTTATTTCTAGGATTAGTATTAGTGTTGGGAATAGAGGCATCGTTTCTATTACTGGCACGGTTATATCCTCGGGTAGAGATATTCGCAGGATTTGTAGGAGTGTTGGAATTACCATCATCGTTGCCCCATATTCCAAGACGTGAGTACTAACAGTTGTGCTGTGTAGCCCTGTGTGTTGTACGTACGCGTATGTACGTTGAACTTCTGTCGCACCGCACGTAGCCAACCGCGCTCATCGGAGGTCGCGCAAAGTTCGACGCTTCACTCGACGCGCTGTTGGGCTCGTTGCGGAAAGAAACCGCGTCACCGCCTCGGAGGGGCGTGCGCAACCCCCGCTCGCCTTCCAGGACCCAGGGAGCCCGGTGGGGCGTCCACGCTGCGCGAATTCAAGTCGAAGGCGGCCGAGGCTGCTCGCGTCAGAGTTCCGGTCCGGTGTTCGGATTGAGACTAGGGATTTGGATTGTCCACCTTCGATGCGCGATAAAACCCAGGACACATCGAGAGGAGGGGCACATCTTGCATCACCGATTGGTGGGGAGAGCGACCTTTAAACGCGTCGTGCCGAGCGGCGCGTGCTATTGTCGTTATGACGTGCGGATGTCCCTGGATGGCTACCTCAGAAAGACAACAAACCTGGGAAAACCAGGACAGGTGCCACCGCCGGCCGAGACTCACTCGAAGGGATCGCTGGGGTCTGGCCGCTGCAGCTCCGTGGGGATGGGGATGCGCTTGTAGTACATCTCCCAGTCGAAGGCGCCGCGCATGGCGTCCCCCGCCTGCGTCTCGTAGCCAAAGTGATCGTGGTTGATGACGTCGATCATGGGGCACACGACCGTGCGCCGGTCCTTGGCAATGCGGTCTGCAGGGTAAAAAAACACACAAATACCCACACAGGTAGACAAATGGTTGAATGAAGAAAGCTCCTGACCCAGGATGGTCCAAAATTCCACTGCTAGACTTTGCACATCGCACCGATATTCCGAGCGCTGCAATGGCTCCCGATACAAACCCAGATCAATTTCAAGATTCTCCGTGGGCCCACCCCTGACTGCCTGCCTGTCCCATCTCATTTCACTCTACTCCCTTCTACGCACTCTCCTACCTCTCATCTCACTATTCTCTTCTCCACTCTCCGTTAAAGCAACGAAGCTTTTCTCTCTAAGCTTCCAGTCAACGGTTGATCAGTGTGAGGTCGCTCACTCTCCTCCGCTACCCCCCATAGTCTGGAACTCGCTTCCCTCAGCCATCCGTGCTGTGGATTCCTCGCCTCTGTTCAAGTGCTGGTTCACGACCGACTGCTGCTCCGCTCTACAAAATCAATACAGCCAATTTATTCTAATGCTCAAAATGCACGCGTCGATTTGCGCGTGGAAATTATTTTTCGTCAACGTTGGTGATATTTTTATTTTAACATGTCGCATGCGATTCACGTGACCCCCGGAAGCCACTGGAGATCCCACAAACTGCGGTAAGGGTTAGCAGCGATGGAATCGATTCCTTGATCGATCCACAAACCCGGATCATCCAAATTCATTGGATCACGAGAGAGGGGCAAACGATTACACGCCTGTGAGCACACATTCTGCCGTCCCCATCCTTCCCGCCGCCAGTATTAGCAATTTTAAATATTTATCCAGGAGTCTCATGGCTTGATTTTTTTCAGAAGGGTCCCCTCCTTCGTTGGGTTGTTTATCCTAACTCTCTTTTGGAGATATTTGTTAAGCGTAGGGGGAAAACACAAAGACTTACGGCAAAAAAATCTGCCAGAGATAACGCTCAAGCGTCACCATCACAAAACCAGCACGCACGAAATGGGCGCATCGAACCCACTCGCTGTGCCGCTTTCGGAAATGGCCCGACGACCGCATTGCCCGGCAAGGTGGGCGACCCGCACGCTCGGCAACCCCAACCCTGCGCGATCCGCCAACCCCCCCCCCCCCACCCCGCACCGCTTCACGACGGAGGCCCTCGCGAACACGCAATCTTACCGACGCCGCCGCCGGCAGCAGCGTCGTTTACTCATTGAAAGACCCATCGCGCGCTGGAGACAGTGCAAATGATTAATTGGACGTGGTTATTTACATTTTTTATGCATTCGCTCGTGCCCATCGATTTCCCTAACCATGCCAGAAACGTGCGACGGCTTCTGCCCACGAGCGTGCCGCTCAGCGGCGAGGCACGGGCGGAGACGCGCGGTGTCATGCCACTCACAGATAGCGCTCGCGTGTCGCGATTTACACCGCTTGTTTTATCAAACGCATTCTATTGAAACGACATTTATTTAAAAAAAAAAAAATTTCCCCCAGGTAAGGCCCAATGAGCTATATAGCGACCTGGCCACAAATGATGGGTTAACGAAGTGGCTCGTCATGTGGAAATTTATAGCAGCCAAATACTCTGAGCGCGTGTTTCTAAATGTGGATGGACAAACCGGAGGACCCGGAGAAAGATCCACGCAACCCAAGGGGAGAGAGAGAGACACGCAAACTCCAAATATACAGGCGTCAGGGTAGGGTTCGAACCCACGACCTCCTGCGTACCAGGCGAGGTAATTAACATCTCACCACCGTGGCGTATTCATGGCTGTGCCAATGCTGCATCCGCACGGCGGCACCCATGCACGATCCACGCGCTGGAGAAATTTTTATTTTTCATGCAATGCATTATGGTGTCTCATTTAACAACGAGGGAGGGGAACGCAAATTGTTTTAACAGCTTTGTCGGGACGCGGGGGGAAACCAGAATATATGCAGAAAGGAGCCACGCGTCGCTGGAAGGCATTTTTATACCTCTAAAAATATATATATAAGCGTAAACGATCATCTTTTAACAGAGAATGTCTACATCAGTGGACACCGCCGGGTGAAATAAAGCTCCGGTCGATTTTTAAGTAATTGTTAAGTTGAATAAAAAAAGAGTGAAAAGCGATTAGTCCGTTTCATTAATTGGACTGTGCCTTGGCAAGCGGCTTTTATCGAGCGCTAACTCGCTGGTGCCCGGCAGTGGGGCTTGGGGATGCGGTGAGACGCAGTGAGACATAGTGGGGATACAGTGAGACACGGTGAGACACGGTGAGACACGGTGGGGACACAGTTAGACATAGACACACTGGGGACACAGAGAGACACGGTGGAGACACAGTGAGACATAGTCGGGATACAGTGAGACACATAGACACAGTGAGACAGAGAGAAACACAGTGAGACACAGTGAGACACGGTGAGACACGGTGAGGCACAGTGAGACATGGTGGGGACACAGTTAGACATAGAGAGACACACTGGGGACACAGAGAGACACGGTGGAGACACAATGAGACAGTGGGGACACAGTGAGACACATAGACACAGTGAGACACAGTGAGACACGGTGAGACACGGTGAGACACGGTGGGGACACAGTTAGACATAGTGGGGACACAGTGAGACACAGTGAGACACAGCCGGGGGGGGGGGGGTGGTGGGGGGGGACACACAGCAAGGATGACGAGAGACACGGTGGGGACACGGTGGAGAGACGGGGACGTGGGCCCCCGTCGCGTGCCCGTCGCTTCTGTCTGGTGGCCTCAGCGGGGCCCCGGGCGGCCCTGGACGGGGTGTTCCATCCAACAGCAGCTGTTCCGAAATGCATCTCCCCAGCCGGAGGAACACCTCCCTTCGGGCGGAACGAACGGCGGCGGGCGATCTGTCATTTCTGGTCAGCGCTCTCACCCTCTGCAGTGTGTGTTTGTTTTTTTTTCAGACGCACGTTTGAATCGCTTTCATTTATTTTCCGTATTTGAGGACCTATCACTAAGAACGTTTGTTGCGAATGATGATTACTGTTGTTGTTGTTGTATGTGTGTGTGTTTTGTGTAATGCGGGCCTGCAACGATCGATTTGTCAATTAAAAGTCGATTCCTACGCCGTACGAGACGTGCATCGTGTCATGCGTGTGAGGATTGATTGTTTTACGATTCATGCAAATTAAATGCAAATGATAATGCTCATGGTACATTTAGCCTAATGCGGTAAACACAACTGCACTAATGAGAGAGAGAGAGAAAAAAACTACAATAAATGATATAAATTGGAGAGTAAAACTGAGAATAACATTAGAAACAATTCCTGAATGTATTCACGATCCCAAATTGTGCCAATGTAATCACCGGGGGAAAGCGGTGAGTTTTTAAAACCCGAGTATTACTACTCTAATGAGTCAAGAATGTCTGTTTGTGTGTAAAGTGCGTGACGTCACTCCACATGCCACACCCCCCGTCATGAATATTCATGAGCGGGTAGATTTTTACACGCAGAGGAAGGTCGAGCGGAAATATTTTTTCGCAAATTCGCTTTAAGTTTGACGTTTCTTTATTGAAAGTGAATCTAATAAATAATTCTACTCAGCAACAAAGTGGATTTGGTGTCTTTATTTATTTCTTCAGCGCTTGAGACAAAAGGTAAGTCTAATTCATGCTTCTACATTATGGTAAAAAAATACATTTCTCGGTGATTTTCCAGATATTTGATCGATTTCCAATTTATTTCAACCCCAGCGACCGAAAGCAGAAGAGAATAAAGTATCAGAGCAGTGAATTGGAACAAATTAAAGGTCAGTTATATACAGTGCTACAGTGAAATGCAGTGAAGTGTTTGATGACATACTTTCGTGCAAGATTCACTGCCATTAAATTTCCACAAGATACAATTATAACTCCGCTCAATTTTTTTCGGAAATATTACAGCTTCCGTCCTAGGACGGGCAAAGACGCCAGTATTGTATAATAAGTAAGTTGTAAACATTTATGCGGTCATCCTTGCAGCTACTTTTGGCTCGGCCATCGAACAAAGACGGTCACCGCGTCGGGCGGCGCTTTCAGATGCGCTTCTGCGGCCGTCTGGAACGCTCTCTTCCTCTCCGATATTAGGAAGCCACTGGGAGCTATGCACTTTAAAATCATCATCGAGAATGAAAACTCATTTCTTTAGAACTGCTTTTTGAGTTTAGTTTGTTGTTCCCCCCCCCCCCGCCACCTCTGATGAGCACGGTTGGCTACGTACGGTGTGAAAGATGTTCAACGTACACGCATTCACTGATGGACGATGAAGGCCTCCCCACGCCACTCTGAGCCTGGAAGTTGTTCGACCATACTTCCCCGGACCCACCAGCGTGCGCTAAGCGAAGGGGGAGCCAGGAATGGTTCAGATATCGCTCGTTTCGGACATCAGCCGTGGCTAGCGCGATGGAGGAAGCGCTCTCAGCGAGCACCGACTGAGGCTGGCATCACAGCCTTATGTTCATCTCCCCCCCCCGTAGTTTTCTTGGACCACGTTGAATTGGAGTCTAATTCCAGCTGGGGCCCAGGTGAAGTTCAGGTGCTAATTGCCACTGGCATAATGGCCAGAAATATATGCTGGATGGGCTTACCAAGCAACAGCGCAAAGCTCCCTGTGGACAAAGACAAACAGATACCCCATATAGCCTCAACGGACTGTTGGGGAAAGTGCTGTTCACGAGCACCAATGAAGGCCGGCACGGCACACCACACGAGGGGGTGGGTGGGCAGCACCACGCTCGGCTACCGTTGTCTCCCAAGTGGCGGTGTTTACACATTGCACCAGGTACTCATTTGAGGCTGAGTCGACCTAGGGGAAGTCCACTAGTGGTTCAGTTAATCATCACTGACGCTTGGCCGTGAGCGGGAATCGAACTCGGGTTCGCCGGGATCGTAGCGCAGCGTGCATTACCATTTACATGCGGACTCTCACGCACACACACACACACACGAGCGTTGCAAAGGGAAGGCTCGTGACATCACAAATCAGCCAGCGGCAGTGGTCAACAGGGCCCCACCAGCAGGCATTTGTGTCACTACCGCAGTTCGAAAGAAAAAACAAAAAAACGACAAAGCGAGACCTGTCCCATTGGCCGAGCCGTATCGCTCAGCGTCACGCCTCCAAGTGGAGCGCGACCAGCAGGTAAATATATAAATAAGCTCAAGTGAACGTACAAATTTTATCTCAACTCCCTTTTTGCTAATTCCGCCGGTTAAAGCTTTCAAAATGCCTTTACGTGACAACAATCTGTAATTATTCTTATTACTATTATTATTATATTTTTTGACAGCCATCGATCGTTTCAGATCGTGGGTAGAACAAAAACTTGACGCCGGGGGTGAACGCGCCGCTCGTGTGCGATAGATACGAAGGCGCTGCTTGTCGACGCGTGGTTTATGCCGGACGGGGACGCGGCGGCCATGAAGACGTGACTGCCTTGGGAAGAGCGAGAATGCGAGCTGGCCAGCAACAACAAAGCGGAGCAGCTGCTGACACTGCTGACAGAAATATGGGTTTTGTTCCTCGTCCGTTTTTTTTAAGGGTTTTTTTTTCACAATTGCATTTTTAAATTTAAAAAAAAGACCATTTATAGCAACTCGGGCACCTCCGGAGAGGTTTATTGCGTAATAATTAGTGTCTCGCACAATCGTTGCCTTGTGGTGCACGCATTTACGTGCGAGGTTTATTGGGGTGCGTCAGCTCAGCGCACGGCCCGCTGATTTCCCCGAGCCCAGCCCAGCTGTGTTTCCATGGTCGGATGCATAAAACAGCTCAAAAGTTAAAGCTTGGCTCAGTTTTTGTTCATTTTATTTAAAGTGGCACAAGTTTAAGGGAGTGGGAGAAATACTTACGGCGTTTCAAGCGAACACCATCTTTCAGATTTTCAAGCACGGCCTTCGCTTGCCTACCCTAACCCCTCCGCACACGCTTGCGCTAGAGCAATCGAGGCATCAGGTCCAAGCCGGCAGTCAAGCTTCACTCGCTGGTCAAGGCTGTCTACTCACTCCCCTGCCACGGTTGAAATCCAGGCTTAACAGCACTTCCTTTTATCGTCGGCGTATGACCAACGACCACAGCCGCACAATGGCGCATCAGGTATCCGCATCCGCCATGGGCTGTTTGGATGCGATTTAGGGTGGACCGTGAGCCTCGTGGAACATCAAACCCCAGGGATCTTCGGCTCGGGCGCACAGTGGGAAAGAGATCACCGAGAGCTGCGCCGCACCCAGCATCGGCGGGACGTCGCTTCTCCCTCTCTCTCCCCCCCCAGACTCCCTCCTCCCCCCCGGCTAACCCCCCAGCCCACCTCCGCCCCCCACCTCCGCCCGATCTTACCGAGCAGCGGCGGGAGCCAGTTGACGTTGGCCTCGCAGTGCGAGTCGAGGAACGTGAGGACGTCTCCGTGCGCCGCGGCCGCCCCCAGGAGGCGCGTGCGGATGAGGCCCTCGCGGCGCGACGTGCGCACGATGCGCACCACGGGGAAGCGCGACATGTACTGCTCCAGCTGCCCCTTCAGGTGTTCTGTACGCACGCGCAGCAGCAGCAGCAGCAACGACAACAAACGAATACGTTACTCATTGCACACATGGTGCTTGCCACAAGTGAACCGCGGTACCTTTCTGACCTCGTCAAAGGGGCATTAACCGGCACGCCAACTCCCGGTCGTCCTCGCGGCGGCGGCGGCGAACCGTCGAAAAAAGACGGTCGCCGCATCGCTCGCTTTCAGATGCGCTGCTTCTGCGGCCGTCTGGAACGCTCTTCCTTCCAATATTAGGAAGCCACTGGAGCAATGCACTTTTAAATCTGGAATGAAAACTAATTTCTTGAGAACTTATTTTTGGGTTTAGTTTGTTGTCCTTCCCCCGCACCTCCGATTAGCGCGGTTCGCTGTGTACAGTGTGAAAGAAGTTCAACATACATACAACAACAACGTGGGCACACAGGAACACGCATCTCCCGATTAGCGTCTTGCGATGAGCGTCGAGGCCACGGCGAAAATCGTCGTCGTGAGCCAAGCGCCTCTGGGCTGAGTTGGGCTCGAGATAACAAGCAGATACACAACAAAGCTTGCTAAACGTTTGGAGATATCTGTCGGAGAAACACATACCCAGGTCATCGTCATCATTATCATCGGCAGCAGCAATGATCTATCCAATGACATCACCATAACTTGCAATGCTGCGACGTAATAATTCGTCGAGTTCCTGTGCTCAAGTGTTCATCACTCCAACTCCACAGGAAACCTTCTCTCGAGCGCGCACGTTGCCTCCCGAGATGACCCTACCGTTCTAAGTTGAGCCCATGAGCCACCGTCCCTTCTAGCGAACCTGTCCTGCGCAAGCCCACTTTACTGTTTGCAACAGAAGTTTGTTCTCTCTGATCCACCAGCTCATCGCATCGCTCCATCTCCTTGGTGGACGCGAGCAAAGAAAAACATCTGAGCCGATTTCAATTGATGCATCGATGCGTCGTTAGATGTAAGGGGCGGTCAAGCACCATCTCGGCCGCCTTTATCTCTCCGATTCAGCTGCTGACCGCACTGTATGGGGGGCAATCGTTTTAGTTGGCCATGTTGACCGAATTATCGTGATGCATGTGCGGGACATCATCGTGACATTAAAAAAAAAATAACATCGATGAAATGTGGGCTGTCATTAAAAATAATCCCTCTTCTTGTCAATGTGTGAATTGAATAAACAAATTAAGAGTCGGGTAACCCTGACACCCTGCCACCATCTTCTCCTCCCCCATCCAACCCCGGGTATTGAAACCTCCTCCCCTCCCTCCTCCTCCTCCCTCCATCCTCCTCCACGCCACAGCTCTCCGACGTCTCTTTGGATCGCACCGCGCGTTCGTTCCCCACGACGGCCGACGGTGTTTCACCCCACGCGCTGGGAGCGCTTCTTTCGGGAACTCGAATCCTGAAGAAGCTCCCGGGCACGTGGAGTGAAAACGTACGGCCTGAAAACGCACGAAGAAATGGCCCGAGAGGATGATGGAGCGTTCCGCTCCATCATCCTCTCGGGCTCTCCGATGCGTTCGCACGCTGCCCTGGGCATTGTCAGCGACAGAATTCCGAAGGAGCTGCCAGCACGTGGAGCGAAACGTCAGACATCGTGCCGAACAACACGGTGGCACAACCCGCAAGCGCATCGGAGAGCCGATGAGCGTGTGGCCGCGGAATCCTACGCAGTTGTCACACAACCAATTCTGAAGACACTTCAATAACGACTATAATAATGGTTTTCACACCTGATGATGATTGCTTGTGTTGCAGTCGAAACGTCGTGAGAATTGTATTGTTTTATATTTTTATTATTTTATTGTTTCCCTTCTACGTGACTTTACCGAAAGAACCAAGAATATAATAATAATGCAATTGATAATGTACGTTTGTATGTATGTTGAACTTCTTTCGCAACGTACGTAGCCACCCGTGATAACGGGACCGCAACCCTGAGGCGAGGAGCCAAGCTCAGTGTCGGGGCCTTAGAGTGCCTCCTAAAAGTAGGTGGCGTTGGAATGCCGCGATTGTGCAGCAGAACGGAAGGCCTCCTTTACCCAGATGAGGGGCGCTCCTTATACGGCCCAGCAGAATGGGCGTCCGTCGCGTGCCAAAACGAGTCGGGGGAAAATAATCGACTCTCGATTCTAATCGCGGCCATGAATCGCAACAATCCATGAAATCGCCACATTCTAACGGAGGATGTCCGAGACAAATCTGCTCGTTGCAACGACAGAACCAAGTCCCTCCCGGATGAGCCGGTGGATCATCCATGGCTGCACCGGCACACGTGCAGCAACAGCAGCAGTAAGCATCCCGACACCATCCACCTTCAAGCAGCAGCTCAAGTTACTCACCCGTCGAGGGTCTCACCCATTCGGGCTCTCATCTGTTTAGGCTCTCACCCATTCGGGCTCTCACCTGTTCGGGATGGCATGCGAGACTTTGAGCTCCGGCTCTGCCCCGCTAAATTCTCGATCAAAGAAATGGTCTGACTATTGAAATATGCGCACGTTACAAATTCTTTTTATTATTATTATCGTTCATGCGCATCGTTACACCCCTACTAGACATATAACTTGAAATAATTAAAGTTTAATCTCATGATTTCGATGCAAGCTTGAATTAAATCTGGCACGCAGGGAATGATTGCTTTCAATTAACGCAAACTGCACGTGCGGCATACGCTGGCAGTACATTTAGGATCTGGGAACGAATGAAACAGAGCAGACGAGATTCCATACAAAAACAAAACAAAAAAAGAAATCGATTCTCAAAAGAATTCACAAAGTCCAAATTGCGAACCCCGATGGACAGCGAATCATTATACGCCTGCTAAACTCATCTAATAACACGTGGGGAGATGCTGCCAGATTAGGTAATTTTGTTTGATACTTTCTTTTGCGGACGTTCACGGACTCCCATTTATAGGAGATTGGTAACCATATGCCGGGTGCTCCGCAAGACTCGCATTAATTTAGTTACTGTAAGTAGCCAGAGCAACAATTACAAACTCTGCTGCCACGCGTCCATTCAGCTTGTCAGAGACACCCCTTTGACTGAAGGGGGCTTGTCTCAGAGGACCGTTTCTCAAGTTCAATTCTAACCCGTGACTTGGCTGATGAAGGGGACTTCGTGGAAGGAATTTCAGAAGTAGTTCGGAGCTGACCTCGCCTGACACGGCGTTTTGCATCGCTTGCTGCAGATCTTACGAGCACAAACGCCTTCCCTTCGTCTCGTGAAATTGTACCGACAGCACAATCGAAATCCCGTATAATTTGGTGGGGGGGGGGGGGGGGGAGGAAACCAAAAAAATCAACAACAGAATCTAATGTATTCATCCATTGATTTCAATATTATGACGACTGAGATTCCGGGCTCACTGGCAACCTTCAACCGGCGAGCGCCCCCGTGAGTGTAAGCTTTATTTATTTACTTACTTACAGCCCTGGTGACAGAATAGCATCGAGCGTCATCGACGGTACAACTGGTGACAGAAGAGCATCGAGCCGCACAGCTCTCCGAAGCGTGTTCGGGCTGCGCCGTGTGTCGTTTCCCGCGCGCTGTCTGACGTTTTGTTCCGCACGCGTGCTGCGTGCCTTCTGAAGAGGTTCCTGAAGAAGCTTCAACTAAGTTCCTGAAGAAGCTCCCAGAACGTGCACCGAAACGTCGGACATCACGGCGAACAACACGTGATGCAACCCGAAAACACATCGGAATCAATTTGCAGGTGTCGTTGAGTTTATTTTGAGCTCATTTGCGGGAGTGGCCTACGGAAATCAGGGTGCGATCATTAGTATGCTTGTTTACCCAGGAAAGCCTCACCGAGTCTCAAATTAATTTCAGGCGGGTCTTGCCAAGCTTTTGCTGTTGGGGGGGGGGGGGGGGGGGGGGGGGTGGGGGCGATGTTGCGTTATGTGTAAACCCAATAGAGTGATTTGCAACATTTTCATCATCAGGATGGTTTGTGTAGGGTCCCAAATAAGTGATTTGGAAAATGGCAAACTTGTGAGCGAAGCAGACGGAGCGCGGTTTTACCGTGGTCATCAACACGCGCGCCGAAATAAGGTGCGTATGCACGCATGCTGAACTTCTTTCGCGCCATACGTAGCCAGCCGTGCTCATCGAAGGTGACCGCTGGATTTGAACGGTGAACGCCGATCGTTGGGAGCGCAGTGATCGTTGTTGTGATCGCTGTTGTGATCGTTGTTGTGATCGCTGTTGTGATCGTTGTTGTGATCGTTGTTGTGATCGTTGTTGTGATCGTTGTTGTGATCGTTGTTGTGACCGTTGTTGTGATCGTTGCGTGCGTAGTGGCTGAGATTTCGCTACGAGCAGCGAGAGGCGTCAATTTGTTCCCCGTCAGTCATAAAGGATGCCTCGTGTGAGGCCGGGTGCCATTATTATTGATTAATAATCATAATAATAATTACTAATGGTATTTTTCGTGTCATCGAGTACAAATTGCCTCGTTCGTTTATGTTGAGATTTTTTTTAAACGTAAACACTCGTGGAATGATTTGTCAGTGAAGGAAAAAAAAACCCAGCGTAGAATGTACAGGAACATTAACGCGTGTTTGTTCTCAAGAATTGCAATTAATTTTAAATTTAAGCTTTCGTCAATGGCAAATTGATGTTGGGCACAAGTCTAAAGCTTTTTATTGTTTATTGTTGTTGCAAATTGCTTCCCTTCCCAACACGATTCATTGCAAATGATTGCTCGTGCTTTGCATACGTTTACCTCGGCTCCTATTAGAAAAATTAATAAACATGACCTCAATCAGCTCCTAAAAATAATAACTTATACGGCCCTTCGTCAAGCCACTGCTGAATGAAGATCTTTCGACCGCGCCGTGTCAACCGTGGTGATACATTCGACCATACTTCACCGCACCGGTCAAGCGTCGCTCGGGTGAAGGGGGGGTATCCCACGTCCGGCTCGCGTGCCGCTCGCCGCAGACGGTTCGGCCGTGACCGGGAATTGAACTGGAGCGATCCAAGTTCATTGCGGCACTTG